GCTCCCTCATTTCTAAAATCTCTTCTACAACCTATTGTGTCAAACTTCTCTAACTATAATCTTAGAAACAGGAATAACTTTCAGAACCCATACTATAGACTGCAAGTCACAAAATCATCCTTCATACCAAGTACTTCAGACTCCTGGAAACGCTGATCAACCTGTTTCTTTGTCCATATTCCGTGGTAACCAACTTCAACAGGTTTTGTTTGCTTGTCTCTTTCTCTATGGATCGAAATTCTCTCTGAGCCATACTGCCTCTGTCCAGTAGCCGTGGAACCTCCTACTGACCGTCCTATCGCTGCTGGTTACTGTTCCTACTACATCCTGATGGCGTTACCAGCTTTCAGCCTCATCAACTGCTTTCACTCGCCTTTTTTTGGCCGTGTCTCCGAGCGTTGCATCAATTAATTCACTTCATCTGACTTTAAGCGGATTTCCAATGATCGGTGGGGGTACCCTTATCGTTGAATGTGAATGTTACAAGTCCTTTCTTTATAGCGAGGGCCCCAAAAGACACCCCCAACAACAACAAAAACAAAACAGAAATACACCCAAATTGTTTATATGTACCTCATATGAAATTTGGGCCCCACGAAAATATCTGATTTCACAGTATAGAATTTTGTTTAAACAGAGTTAGTGTAGCGACAATCCAGTCGTTACATTGACTCATTACACTCAAACCGTAATAGGGTAAAACAGATTTAAATTTAAATTAATAAATAAAAACTTTTAGAAAATGCCGTCTTTAGAATTTTGTCCATATTACCATATTCGTAGTGCCGTAAGTAGAAATCTGATATAAGGATATAATGTTTCTGTGCATGTATAAGACGGTAGTCTGTATGTGTAACCGATATGTCCTGATGTAATGTCTGTCTGTAGGATATCCGTGCGTTAACATGTCCTGATAAAGGTACACCGCTCAAACATTCCTGACGATACATTCCGCGTGATACTTGTAACATAAACCAACACACCCTAGGTTACATATATTTTACAATGAGTTTTAAATTTAGTATAAAATTACGATGGCCGATAGCAGCCGACACAAAACAACTACAATATAAGGCATTTATGTACATGTACACTTTTTAAAAACTGTACATCTACACCATGCAACTACAAGTTAAATTAGACTTCCTTAACGGTTCGGATCAACTTGATATTTCACACGTGCCTGATGCGACGGTGAATTTAAAGACCAAACGACAAAGAAAGGGAATATGTTCATAAATCAGCGAAGAGGCGATAGAGGTCACCACACAGTGTTGCTACGTAGACTGTACACAATATTTCACTAGTTGATGCTTGAAGGCGACTTAATCTCATCACCTGAAAATGGATATACTAGAAAAGTTTGACATTAGTAATTATCAAGTGTTTAAATTTTCTTAATCTTTTCTTTGTATGTTGATAGGTCTTATGTCCTATTTTTAATTTGAAAGAAATGTAACAGACAAAAGCCATCGTTATACGCATATCTATGTGGACTTTACCTAATGTATGGATTGGAGTCATAAAGTAGAACGTTGCCTTGTTCAGTGTGAATAGTTGAGTGCTAAAGTCAAATATAATATAATACTTACTGTAACAAAAGTTGTATGTAGATTGTTCTGAGAGAAATAACTAGTGTTTTATACCAAAGGCAATAGCATTGAAACTTGTGAGTATGTCACATGGCACACTTTAAATTACGTATTTGGGGTTATTGGGTTAACATTATAATTCTATATACAAATTAAGTAACTACATGTTTTTGTTTTGTCTCCAACCATTACTCCAAAAATCACATACAAATTATATGATATTTGGGATACCTCTGATTTGTGACCGTCTAGTACTGCTTGACTTCTGGGGAATCTAGTAATTTCCTTGTCGTTTATTAGCCGCCGTATCAGACACGTGTGAAATATCAAGTTGACCCGAACCGTTAGGGAATGTTAATAGCACTTGTAGTTGTATTGTGTACATGTGCAGTTTTTAAAAAGTGTACATGCACATAAATGTCTTATATTGTAGTTGTTTTGTGTACATTTACAGTTTTTAAAAAGTGTACATGTACACAAATGTCTTATATTGTAGTTGTTTTGTGTCGGCTGCTATCGGCCATCGTATAAAATAGAATAAAGGTGTACTTTTCCGTTCACATAGCAGTTTTACGGAAGCCTAATAGTTTCAACTTCGACGATTAAAACGCCATTTTGTTATAGCAGTTTAACGATTTAGTTATCTCGTTTTAACGCGATAAGGCATATTGAGACTTCGCTTCAGGTGACATTAACCTGACTAAATAAGGAAAACTTTAGGGCATAGCTTTAAAGGTTATGATAAACGATAAATGTTACTGACTGATATCAGACAAGCATACTTTATCAGGAACAACACAACCGTTACATGTAAAGAAGAAATTATTTTGTTCAAACTGAGAAACCTCATTCGTTTTTCGAAGAGTGCGTGTATAAAAGTCCTAGACCGATATCAAAGAAACAGGTGTAAATTATTAGATTTTTATAGCAGTTATCGCTATATTAGAGAGACATATTACAGTCACTCATTCTGATAACTTCTAACACAATAAGCAATGTCAATTAACAAACATTAAATGAAAAATACATGTAATAACTCTATGTACTCTGTCTAGTAGCCAACAAGGCAAACTGGTGCTCCGGCTCTGGCAACTTTTGTTGGACTTTTGTTTCGGTAGGTACACCCTAAACCTCATTCTTTTTTGCCGGATAGCAGAGAAATATTTGAGTTTTATATTTTTATAGCCTAATTTGTGTAAATTTGAGTTTTCGTACAAGTCTTGAGGGGATAGGGGTATGCCAGGTGGTCTGTTTCCCATTCAAAATTATCTTGGCTCCTTTAACTAATTTTAAATGATAGACAAATGATAAATACACACTTTGATATGAAATGATTTCAATTCAATGTACTTTTGTGGCCATCACATTAAACCAATGGCGAAGAACGCTGCAATGAAACGGAATGACGAGCTAGTATGATTACCGTCGAAGGAAAATACCACAAATCATGCTACCAAACATACACTTCGGTTGAACATCTTGGATGTCTAGCTGCAGGCTCAGAAGCAAAAGAAAAAGGAGATGAAGAAGTAAAAGAAAAATCTGACCTCCACAGCAGAGAAATGAGTTTTCTTCTACTTGAAGTTGAGTCCGAACTTTTTACCAATCATGTGTACGAGTTAACTAATATTCGCGATAGGTACATAAACATCCTGTCTACAATGTCAATTCGGCAGGAACCAACATAAGTCATGCAGAGTCCAAGCACGTCTTATACAGCATTAAGAGCTCGACTAACCTTCTTAACGCGCGAATGTGTCGCTCAAAAAGTGAACTGGTCTATGCAAGCAACATCAGCCATGAGAGGGAGAGGGAGAGAGCGAGAAAGAGAGAGAGAGAGAACTATTGATTCATCAAGTGTTGAATGATGCAGCAGTTCTAATAAAACCATGTAATTGAAAACATGTACTGGCCTTCTGAAGTTTCCTCCAAGTTCAAATGATATAACAAAATGGAACAACAAATTGGACATCGTCTGTCCTTCTTCCTACCACATCTTATCGTAGGGACTGCGAAACAAAGGGGAAAAAAACAACAACAAAAAACCCACTCCTGTTGATGACAATCAATATAAGCGCATTCTGGCAATTGGCCAAGACATGTATGCTACTGCAAGAGGGCGAATCCTCACACCGAAACATGTTGCCGTCACTAATGCCATTCACCATCTGATAAGGAGCCGGGAATTTATAACAATGTTAAACCGTCTGACTAGGAGTCGGGAATTTATAACAATGTTAAACCGTCTGACTAGGAGTCGGGAATTTATAACAATGTTAAACCGTCTGGGACACTGGCTATCACATGACCAGCGACTTCGCATCGAAACGTCGGTGGCTGATCAGCAACAGTCTGCAAATGATGAAGTTTTCATTCCGAGCAACATTCAGAACCACGTCTTCACCCAAAATGGCAGCCGATATTAAGGATTTCAAAGAGGCAAAGGTAGACGGCAAACAAACTACACCATGCACCAATATGATAGTCATATAACGTAAACATCATAATTCGTTGGTATCTGGATATTTTAAGGCTTCAACGCAAAAACGAAAACGGGCTCTAGAAGATGGTAAAGAACTAGCACTCAATGCATTCGTATCTCCTAGAAGACGACCATGCCCTTCAATCCAGCACAACTGCCTTCCAGAGGTGTTTCAAACAAACAATACTGCCAATAGACGAAGCATGGGTTCTGTGTAGGGCAATGCCGAGAAAAAGTTTTACTCTTGAAGCCAACAATGAGCAAATACAAAATGTTCCAGTTTATGTAGGTTGTATTGTGTTCACTTAATATTTCATAATTGGGTGGAAAGTAGGTCACTTCAATGGATGCTTAAGTTTGTATTCATTATAACACAACTTGTAGCAAAACAAAATACCCATCACCCTCATCTTGTCAAGGCCACATTTTCTGTACATTGCCTTCATTAACGGTATGTGTGGATGCGCCGGTTTTGCAAAATCGACTGACTTTATTTCACAAATTAATCACATCAGCCACTTTAATCAACTACAGGACGAATTTGATCAACTCCACAAATGATAGGAGTAAGGGGCTTTTCCCTCCAGCTGTGTCATTTGTTCAAATTAAAGGGCAGCGTATCTTGAATAGTTTGTCTGTCAAATGCAAAGAAATATGGTAACATTAACCCCAAGGATGACAAATGTATTTCCCAGTCCCCCGTTCTTTCTCCTCGAACAAAGCATATGAGTACAATGTATGTCAACCATGTCAAAGTATTCCTTCCAGAAAGCATCTGACATTTTGGAAATATATCAATGATACATTTAAATTGAATGGGGAGTAATAATATCATGAAATGCATGGAAGTTATCCTTGTGTATACGTTCAGTGATCCGTCATTTCATCCGCTATTTTATCCGTGTTTTACCAAAGTCCAGACGTATACCGGAAGTAGCTTGATGAAGTTTGATGTAGAACTATCACAGCATAGGTGGTGGGCACGTCTATCAAAAAAAAAAAAAATGAATATATAAAACTAGAAAGGTGAGGAACCCAGCCCCTACCAGCGGCTGGCAAAATTGAGGTAATTTTGTTTGAAGTATCACAGAAATTGTATCCGCTAAAATCCTTCCCACAGCGTAGTCTCGATCGAAAGTAGGGACATTAATCTTTAAATAACACCCATTATATATCTTCAAACCAGTGTAGTTATTTCGTAAGCAGTTTCGAAGCTCGCGAAAATCACCGATTTGTGTTCCCTCGGACACGATCCGGAACATTTTTTCGAAACAAATTCTTCATTCGGTACACAGAATAGCGGACGACGTAACATTAATAAACCATTGAATACTCAAAGATAAGGTCCAAACAAACTTGCTTACTTGTTTTACGCACCACTAAATTTCTCCTCTCGTGTCCCTCAAGTATTTTCTCCGCAAGATTTCACATTCAGCCCGCCTTCGTCCACCATCTTGGAGAATTTTATAATATGTAACACGCAAGCTGATTGGTCTAACGGCCGGTTAAAAATAGACGAAAATAGCTCGACCAATCAGCTTGCATATTATAAAATTCTCCAAGATGGTGGACGAAGGAGGGCTGAATGTGAAATCTTGCGGAGAAAATACTTGAGGGACACGAGAGGAGAAATTTAGTAGTGCGTAAAACAAGTAAGCAAGTTTGTTTTGACCTTATCTCTGAGTATACAATGGTTTATTAATGTTACGTCGTCCGCTATTCTGTGTACCGAATGAAGAATTTGTTTCGAAAAAATGTTCCGGATCGTGTCCGAGGTAACACAAATCGGTGATTTTCGCGAGCTTCGAAACTGCTTACGAAATAACTACACTGTTTTGAAGATATATAATGGGTGTTATTTAAAGATTAATGTCCCTACTTTCGATCGAGACTACGCTGTGGGAAGGATGTTAGCGGATAAAAGTTCTGTGACACTTCAAACAAAATTACCTCAATTTTGCCAGCCGCTGGTAGGGGCTGAGTTCCTCACCTTTCTAGTTTTATATATATATTTTTTTTTGATAGACGTGCCCACCACCTATGATCACAGAAGATGAATTGGACGACTGACAGGTGAACGTATATATAGCCTAGGTAATGCTTCTTAGCAGTCATCACTTTGGTTATATTCGTACGAATATCAGGCACATAAACCTTAACAGACACTTATTTTGCACTACTTGAATAATGGAGTGTCGGCCAACTCATGTTACTGTTGTCGCTGCCATTTGTTGATAAACAATCGGTTTATAGTATTGCTGTAACTAAGTTAGATACTGAAGTGTACGAACGGACGAAAGGGACGGCGATTTGTAATACAAGGGTTTCTAGAAGTTCCTATTTTTCATAACAGTACAGTCGTCCTATTGTATATGTCAAATAATTGGTCCTCAAAAGAAAAAATAGCATGCTGTGTCCAGTTTTCCATTCTGTTATATATATATGTGCCCATCCAGTTTCTGTGCCCATCTATTTATAACGCGTATGTACGTGTACTGTACAAAAATGTGTGTACTGTAACAGTCCAAAATTTCGGAAAGTGTGTTTGCAAGACAAATAAAATATTATTTTGACTTTCGTGTCAGCTATATTTTAATGACAACAAAATGTTTCGTGTAGAATAAGCTTGTTATAACGGGGTTGAGTCCTTCCGTACTTATGAAGGGAGACATATTGTATTAGTACTGGTTCTTCTACTTCTTCTGGTTCTTCTAATTGCAACTTGTCTGGACCATACATTTTAAACAGTTCAAGATATCATGATGAAACATGGGGTATGCCTGCATCACCCACAGAAGGTATGCAGTGCACTGAAATTAGGTCACTGTGACCTTCACCTCAAGGTCAAAGGTAAAATAAGTGCAACATTTTCAGTAAATTCTTGTCCGGTCCGTAAATTTTAAACCATTTAAGATATCTTGATCAAACTTAAGGTATACCTTCATCACCCACATTAGTCCGAATTATTCTGACGTTTTATCGACTTACCGGTAAGGTGTGCAGTGCACTGGAATAAGGTCTTGTGCTGACACTATATATAGAGTTATAGCTCTTTGTTAATTTTATACCGAAGTTTGTCTGCAGCCTAAGTTCCATGTTATTTTTCCTACGTTGTAGAATAATTAAAAAGTTTAATGGTTCAGAGTCTACACACCTTAATCTTGATGTGACCTTTCTATAAATTCTTCCAAATATGCATATTGGCTAACAAGGGGAGACATATGTTTTTGTTCACAAAAACAAATTTCTTGTTTGCTTTTGTGTCCTGACCTGCATGCTCCTCGCTGATGTAAAAGAAGTGTTTATATTTGCCAAACATGATGACAATAATAAACTTGCAGTATGTGTGCAGTAATGCACAAAAGGTCAGAGCACAGAAACTGGACCTGCACTGAAACTGAACTTATGAGAGTAAATAGAGAGTGGGCCCCCATTAGGGAAAGAAGTAAAGGGTCCAATATAGACGGAAAAGTGGTAAATCCTTCTCCAACTGTACTGATGTCAGAAGAAATTTTCACTGATTTTGATCTGGAGCATTCTTTGGCCAAGAAGACTTATAATAGTATTAAATAAATACAGATTCTCAATCTATTGTTGAGTATGTTCAACCATTTATTATATTTTTTTCATGATACATATTCACATTATATTTTCATATTTTCTTTGTAATAAATATTGATGAAGTCTTGATCAAGTACATTTTCTTTCATCTGTATGAAAGCCAGATTACATGTATATTTTCATGATAGCAAGGCAAGAATGTCTATTCCAAATAATGCCCCCATGTCTGGCCTCCAAAAATTGATGGTTGCCCCATAAGCTTTTATCTCACATCTTACAGCACATCTTTTATATCCTTGATGTTATTTGCTAGATAGTAGACCTCAAACAAACTTGAAGTTTGAAAAAGGCCACCAAAAGCATGAGAAACTGCATAGTAATTGATATACTGGATCAAATAAATGACATGAATTTGAAAGTATGAATTTGAAACAGGGTTAGACTTCAATATTCTAAAAGTTATGTCATTTTCCCAGTCATTCAGGCTTTTTGGACACAGCTAGATAAGATGGCGAGTGGAGGGAAGAAGTCATTCCGTAATTCTCTGAAGGAGTCGCTGACAGGCTTTAAAAAGTGTAGCCTTAAAAAGACAGAAACGAAAGTAACCACAGCAGGAGGAGAGTCATTCATCGAAAGTCATGACGAAGACGGTAAAACAGTGTCCAAGAAAACAGTTGGCCAAACGTACGGATTTGTGGGGTGGGGAATTCCCGACATGCAAGTTGGGGAAATATTACCAGGACTTTTGCTGAGTGAGTTACAACTTTTGTGTTTCTGTATGTTAAGTGAATGAAATGGTGATTTACATGTTCATGTTTGTTTTACTATAATTTTTATAATAGATAAAACTTAGGTACATAGAAATAGATACATGTATTGTGTTCAGAAATTATCATGGCTATCAAGGAAGAAGTACAGTAAAACTTGTATCATTCGCCACGTCATTTTCAGCGACCATATTGCAATGTCCCTTTTTCTTGTTTTCTGAAGAATACTTTATCCGTTTCCCCCAAATTAGCGTCAAATCCCTTTATAATGCCAAATTTTCTCTGGACAAATGGTGACAGTATATTGAGGTTTTACTGTAAATCAGACCAAAAGGACAAAGGCATAAAATTTGGAGTGAATCAAGATCTACAGATTTAGATAGGTGGAATATTTTCTGCAGGTTTGGTATAAGTATAAAGTTACCCTGGGTCAAGAGAAATTAATTTTGTAGCTATACATGTATAAGAAACTAAAAAGACATAGTCCGGGGCCAGCAGGGTGGCCTAAAAGTGGGAAAAGGGGCAAATTATTAAAATACTTCTCCTTTATTATGAGTGAAGGATTTTATTTAACCTGATTTGGTATAAATGATCCTTGGGCCAAGTAGACATAAGTGTGTATAAATGAAAATTGTGGCCCCTGGCCTGCAGACAGAAGAATTGTGTCCCCATAGGGAAAATTTGTTAAACTTTTAAAATTTACTTGTTTCTAGGCAGTTGAAGGAATATTATGTAATATGATGTTCAAGTAATTAGGTTTGGCAGAAAAGATAATTTAATAAAGCAGTAGTTGTAATGGAATTCTCAACACTCATATCTATTTATACTGTCATAGTTTTAGATTATCAACTCTGATACCAATCAAGCAAAAAGTCACCTGTTTTCATCAGTGTTCCATTCACTAAACTAAAACCAACAGCTAACCAAAATTGGCCATTTGTTCTTTTTAGGTCACCTGAGCAAAGCTCAGGTGACCTATTCTAATCGCTTTCTGTCATCGTGCGTAAACTTTTAACATTTTCAACTTCTTCTTAAGAACCAGTGGATGGATTTTTTTCAAACTTGGTCAGGATCATCCATGGTAGATGAGGCTACAAAATTGTAAAATTGGGATTCCTACCCAACCCCAAAGGGAAAATTAACCAATATTTCAAAAATCTTCTTCTCCAGACTCAGAGGTACTACATTCAATTTCAGTGCATAATAAGAAAGATCATCAGCGGCTTTATATTAGCTGTAAATTTCAGGACCCCCGAGCTATCCGTTCTCCCTTGGGGAGGGGGTAAAGTAAAGTTTACTATAGTTTATATAGGGAAATAACACTTTTGGGTATATTTTATCCATTTTCAGCAGAAAATTACTCAAACTTAGACAAAATCATCTTTGGTGAATGAGAGTACATATATGCATGTATTACATTGTAAAATTGGGATTCCTGCCCGATCCCCAGGGGCTAGGGCGGGGCCCCAAAGGGAACATTTACCAATATTTTCAAATTCTTATCCTTAGATGACATGAAAAGTATTGTATTTCACTTAGTTTACATGCTGATTTCCACATCACATCTAAACAATAAAATAAAGCTACATGTACCAGTACCTATGATATAACTCAGGTGACCGCTAAGGCTCTTGGGCCTCTTGTATCTTATCAGTTTGATCATCATGAGTTACTTCCCTTTGGTCTAGGTTCCCAGGATGTGGCTTGTGACCAGGAGACACTACTGAATTACAACGTAACTCACATATTAAATGTGGCATCGTTTGTGGATGAACATTTTCCAAGAAACTTCACCTATAAATCCATGAAGATGGACGACCATCCAGATTTCCAAATCTCACAAAAATTTGAGGAAGCTTTTAGTTTCATAGATCAAGGTCGAGTAAAGGACACGGGTGTGGTACTTGTGCATTGTAACGCTGGAGTGTCTCGTGCTGCGACCGTTGTCATCGGCTACCTGATGAGTCGCGAGGGTATGACGCTTCAACATGCATATGGTCATGTAAAGGATAAACGTCCCGCTATTCGCCCAAATGATGGATTTCAAAGTCAGCTGAAAGTTTATGGAGAACAACTGAAAAGACAGAGATGAAGAAATTCAATCTGAAGCTGTTTCACCTGAATCTGTTTCACCTGAAGCTGTTTCACCTGAAGAAAACTGTTGATTAATTTGTTTTTTTATTTATTGATATTATTTACTGTATTGTTATTTTCACAATACCAATTCTCTAGTCACAAAGCCGTTTCAAAGGACACTTTTTTCATACTTAATTCAATCACCATGAAGTGAAAGATAATGCAGTACGTACATATATAGCCTGATGTACGTGATATATCGTGACAAGTCTGATGTATGTGATACATAGTGACAAGTCTGATGTACGTGATATATCGTGACAAGTCTGATGTATGTGATATATCGTGACAAGTCTGATGTACGTGATATATCGTGAAAAGTCTGATGTACTTGATATATCGTGACAAGTCTGATGTACCTGATATATCGTGACAAGTCTGATGTACGTGATATATCGTGACAAGTGTGATGAACGTGATATATCGTGACAAGTCTGATGTACGTGATACATCGTGACAATGTATCGTGACAAGTCTGATGTACGTGATGTATCGTGACAACTCTGATTTACGTTATATATATCGTGACAAGTCTGATGTACGTGATGTATCGTGACAAGTCTGATGTACATGATATATCATGACAAGTCTGATGTACGTGATATATCGTGACAAGCCTGATGTACGTGATACATCGTGACAAGTCTGATGTATGTGATATTTATCGTGACAAGTCTGATGAACGTGATATATCGTGACAAGTCTGATGTACGTGATTTATCGTGACAAGTCTGATGTACATGATACATCGTGACAAGTCTGATGTATGTGATGTATATCGTGACAAGTCTGATGTAAGTGATATATCGTGACAAGTCTGATGTACGTGATATATTGTGACAAGCCTGATGTATGTGATTTATCGTGACAAGTCTGATGTACGTAATATATCGTGACAAGTCTGATGTACGTGATATATCGTGACAAGTATGATGTACGTGATATATCGTGACAAGTCTGATGTACGTGATACATCGTGACAAGTCTGATGTATGTGATATTTATCGTGACAAGTCTGATGAACGTGATATATCGTGACAAGTCTGATGTACGGATATATCGTGACAAGTCTGATGTACGTGATGTATGGTGACAAGTCTGATGTACGTGATATATCGTGACAAGTCTGATGTACGTGATACATCGTGACAAGTCTGATGTACATGATGTATCGTGTGACAAGTCTGATGTACGTGATGTATCGTGACAAGTCTGATGTACGTGATATATCGTGACAAGTCTGATGTACGTGATATATCGTGACAAGTCTGATGTACGTGATATATCGTGACAAGTCTGATGTACGTGATATATCGTGACAAGTCTGATGTACGTGATATATCGTGACAAGTCTGATGTACGTGATATATCGTGACAAGTCTGATGTACGTGATATATCGTGACAAGTCTGATGTACGTGATATATCGTGACAAGTCTGATGTACGTGATATATCGTGACAAGTCTGATGTACGTGATATATCGTGACAAGTCTGATGTACGTGATATATCGTGACAAGTCTGATGTACGTGATATATCGTGACAAGTCTGATGTACGTGATATATCGTGACAAGTCTGATGTACGTGATATATCGTGACAAGTCTGATGTACGTGATATATCGTGACAAGTCTGATGTACGTGATATATCGTGACAAGTCTGATGTACGTGATATATCGTGACAAGTCTGATGTACGTGATATATCGTGACAAGTCTGATGTACGTGATATATCGTGACAAGTCTGATGTACGTGATATATCGTGACAAGTCTGATGTACGTGATATATCGTGACAAGTCTGATGTACGTGATATATCGTGACAAGTCTGATGTACGTGATATATCGTGACAAGTCTGATGTACGTGATATATCGTGACAAGTCTGATGTACGTGATATATCGTGACAAGTCTGATGTACGTGATATATCGTGACAAGTCTGATGTACGTGATATATCGTGACAAGTCTGATGTACGTGATATATCGTGACAAGTCTGATGTACGTGATATATCGTGACAAGTCTGATGTACGTGATATATCGTGACAAGTCTGATGTACGTGATATATCGTGACAAGTCTGATGTACGTGATATATCGTGACAAGTCTGATGTACGTGATATATCGTGACAAGTCTGATGTACGTGATATATCGTGACAAGTCTGATGTACGTGATATATCGTGACAAGTCTGATGTACGTGATATATCGTGACAAGTCTGATGTACGTGATATATCGTGACAAGTCTGATGTACGTGATATATCGTGACAAGTCTGATGTACGTGATATATCGTGACAAGTCTGATGTACGTGATATATCGTGACAAGTCTGATGTACGTGATATATCGTGACAAGTCTGATGTACGTGATATATCGTGACAAGTCTGATGTACGTGATATATCGTGACAAGTCTGATGTACGTGATATATCGTGACAAGTCTGATGTACGTGATATATCGTGACAAGTCTGATGTACGTGATATATCGTGACAAGTCTGATGTACGTGATATATCGTGACAAGTCTGATGTACGTGATATATCGTGACAAGTCTGATGTACGTGATATATCGTGACAAGTCTGATGTACGTGATATATCGTGACAAGTCTGATGTACGTGATATATCGTGACAAGTCTGATGTACGTGATATATCGTGACAAGTCTGATGTACGTGATATATCGTGACAAGTCTGATGTACGTGATATATCGTGACAAGTCTGATGTACGTGATATATCGTGACAAGTCTGATGTACGTGATATATCGTGACAAGTCTGATGTACGTGATATATCGTGACAAGTCTGATGTACGTGATATATCGTGACAAGTCTGATGTACGTGATATATCGTGACAAGTCTGATGTACGTGATATATCGTGACAAGTCTGATGTACATGATATATCGTGACAAGTCTGATGTACGTGATATATCGTGACAAGTCTGATGTACGTGATATATCGTGACAAGGCATGTAAGATGTCATTGTGTTTACTGTTGAAGGGTCAGTCAAATTTAATATAAAGATGTAATTTAAGCATAAAATCAAAACTCCTCCACTGTTTTTAAACAGTTATTAAAAAAAATATTACATGATTTGACAATAATATTTCTTCTCTTCATTTGAGAAGGAAACAAAAAACATGGCCTGACATGCAGTTTTATTTTTTTGCTTTTCATACAGTTAAGATTCAGGATAATGATGAAAATGTTAAAAAAAAGTGTTTTAACTTCATCAATATCTTTATTTTATTTAAAGAACAATAACAACCTCAACTGTTGTTTATTTATCTGTTATCTATTGATTTATTTATCTAATGAAAATAGAGAATATTATATTTTCACCTATCAGTAAAGTTATTTGTTGTATTTTAAGAAGAATGATGGTGACCTCAACCGTTTACTCTTATGATATTAATTAGGTAGACAATTATACTTCCACTAAAGGCAGCCTTAAGAAAAAGATATCCTTTTCACTTTACACGTGTGATTGTAAGTTTGTGCTGGTTACAACACCTGTCAGATACAAAGCTATTGTTTGTTGTGGTACATATGTAAGGTCCCAATACCGATTTGTAACAGTTACCTCCCTTACTGGGGATTGTAAACGAAAAGTGGAGGTAGGAGGTCTAGGGCTTGGTGGCAATGTAAGTTTTGTTAGTGTTTTTGATGTTTTTTACAATTACCTATTTAAGGAATGTTTTTCTCCTTCGTGTAGTTGACTAGGTGATTACTGTTATAAAGAATGTGTAAATAAATCCCATACAATCAGTTTGTGCTTCAATCTAATTAAAATTATATCTTCACATTGCTACCGTTTACCGATATGTCGCGATATAATTTTAATTAGATTGTTTGTGCTTGTGACCCACTATACTTACCTCTCAAAACCCAGAGAAAAAGCAATCATTTCAAAATTTATTTAAATTTGTATCCTTTTAATTTAACAACTACATATATATACAGTATGTATTTTATCTTTCAAGACAGTATGACATGTAGTTGATTTGATAAGAAACAACCGAAAATCTTTGTAGAATTATTTTTATGCTGAATTGTTCATGTCGAACTGTGTTGACATTGACCAAAAAGCTCATCTCCTGCCAGATATCTTGTTGACGAAATCACAGAATTTGTCATGTTTCAGTTTGTGATAAATTCTACACGCTTGAACATTACGTGTATTTGTTGTTTCGTGTATCTACACCAGTACATGTAAATAATGATATCTTTAGGAATCCTGTAACACCATTTCTCTACGACAGATTTTGATGTACATGATGTTTTTGTTTTTATTTTTAAGAAGAAACAGTGCTAGCATTATATGTTTATTTTCATATTTTTAACTACAAGGTCTGCATATTGTTATGAAATTTTGTTATTTGAACTTCAATGCTTTAATTGAATAAATATCTTATGTCTGTGATAATATTGGGACTTCACTTGTTTTTTTGTCAGTTTATTCAAGCCTTAGCATACACATCACCCGGCAACAGAGGAAATGAAATTGTCTGCTAAACAGTCATATTTTAAGAAATACTGAAGTGTGAGATGATCTAGTAACATGTTTACATATGAATATTCCACAGTGATAATGTACAAGTTAGACCTTCCCTATAATGGGAGTCAAGTGTACATGATATATGTATGTTGAGAAAAAGAAAACTGAAATCAATATTCGTTTTTAAGTTCATAATTTATTTCAACTTTCTTGTATACTGGAGACAAATTTTCTAGGGTTTCTAAACATTTACACAGAATCATTGTCAGTTCGAGGAAGTTTTACAAACTATTCTCCCTGACAACCCTACAGGTCAATGGAACAAGCTATATAGGAGTCCATTTTCCTATCATGGGGTTGGCAGGTCTGAGTTGCACAATTTGACTTTTGAGACGCTGTTGACAATGATATTGATGTATTCACTCATCTTCACATTTATGTCAGTTTGGTTCAAACATATATAATGAAATGATTTGTAAAGCTATGAATATCTGTATATAAAAATGATAGATTTTTCTTTCTTCCAACAATGAATATATTTGTCATAACTTTTTATTTCTATCATGTGTATTTAGATAAAGACATGTGAGCAGTGCCGGTTACTTCCTGTATGTGTCGCTATAATTATACAACCAGCTGGGGTTCAACAACAGTATGGCATCGACATTACTTTGCTCCGTGCTTTGTTGTAACGAGCTGGTCCTACCATACAGGTGAAACTGCACTGTCTGATATGTCGTTAGTAAATATGGGACTTCTGCAAGAAAAAGAAACTCTTTCAAGCTAAAACATTGACAACTACAGGAAGTGTTCAACACAGAGGTACACTAAATGTAACCAATTATACAAGGAACTCTTCAAAATAGAGGTACAAAAAGAAGCAAGTTAAACTTGTCTGGCTATATATGGTACCACCGATCTGAAGCTCAAGTCAAACAGAATTATACAATTATACCAATTATATATTAAACACCAATTGACTAGTAAGTTTCGTATCACCGAAAGCTTAAAAAACAACAAAACAATGGATATCCATAGAGAAAATTGCGCTGTGGTTAAATACGCAAACAGGAAATAGGCACACACAAAAACTCAACTCTTACATTCACATTATTCACCCTAAAGGGAGACAATTCCTCTGAAATAACCATGCCAAAATTGTATGGCAAAGCTTAGAAGAAAAACCTTAAGATGACAATGAAAGTTCCATACAGATACTGTACAACTTTAGCTCCACTCAATTGTGTCCATAAAAACCATTAACTCTCCATAAAAATAAGCATTACAAATTTATTTGTATTACCGAATACAAAAAAAAATAAATATATGTAAATGTTTGCATTGATGTAAGTTTTGTTTAAGTCAATGTGATGCTGGTAAAAGGCCTGTCTTATTTGGTTTTAAAACAATGAAGCTTTACAACTGTACAATTTCAAGTTCAAATGAAAAACTTCTACAAAACTTGTTCTTTAACTTCCCAACATAATGTTATATATGCTATACAGTCATTTGTTGTGTTCTGCTCCTTACATATAAATAAAATTGATAACATTATTATCATATCAACAATTTATTATTATCCAAGAGACAGATACATGTATATTACAATACAAATATATTTAAAACAGCAGCATGCTGTGTCTTGGAAGAGGTTTCTAAAAATGCTTTTGCCAATCAAGTTGCTTCTTATTTTATGCAATCTGATTGGTCAAAATTGTCAAGATTTCTTTCTCCTCATTGGTCAATTCTTTGAATGTGTTGTATATTAAAAACAAAAATAAAACATATTTGGATTTATTTAAAAAGCTGATTTTCATGAATTTGTTTTCAAGTTTAAAACTACAATCTGAGGTGTTGATGGTATTGAAAGTTAAATGTTTCTAAACCAATAGTGTAGTCTAATCTGCAGAATGGTCAGCAATATGTATGTCATATAGGATTCAAACTGTTATTGCCTATAGTTCTTTGTGATGGAAATAAGTTATTCTAAGTCAAGTATAGAAACAGAAATCTTTACTCTCACCAGTTACAACAAACTAGAGTCTATGGGTGGTCGAATGGCACAGTGGATAGTGCACTGGCTTTTCACCAAGGCAGCCATGGATCGAAGCCCCAATCGGTCTTGAAAAGGTATGAGGTCACCTTCCCGATCACTTGGGTTTTCTCCCGGTACTCCGGTTTCCTCCCACAAGACCCCCCCAACACGAGTGATTAATTTAAGTTTTAATAAGTATTTTTATAATTGTTGTAAAAGAAATTAAGTTTACAATTACAACATACTGATGGATAGAAGACTCAAATTTTGAATCAAGAGTTTCTGCTTCAAAAAGATCCGAAGATTATACCGATATATCAATTAGGTCCAATGCACGACACTGTTCTATTTCATTTTTATGCCACCATGTTGTCTCTACAACATGCATAAGTCAGATTAGGAATACACAACATTGAGGATTTTCAAAACTGCTTTGGTTAGATCCTGTCTTCATGCTTTAAAAAAAAAAAAAATAGTCTGGAAAATATTTGTTAAAAGTAAAATGTAAAACGTTCAGATGTCACTGTAGGATCAATCACAATATCTATGGCACGCCCATGTTTGATACAAACCTAGGTCTGTAGACTCTCAAATACTTAAAACTCAGAAACAAATATACTGCAGTATAACAAATTGTTGCATGATTATGTACGTGATCCTATACTTTCAATCTGATGTGATTACACGTACAGGCCTGGTAGTAAAAGGCTAGTGTATGGAGGCAGTAATATTGGAAAAAAAAATCTGTGCAGAAGTAACACTAATGTTTGGTAAGTGTTCTTTTTAGGGATACACTAATGAACGAACCAATAAACATCGTTCACAAGTGGTCTATATCATCCATGACTTTTGCACATCTTTATAAACCAGATAAATTAATTTAACAGCTGCTGAGTAAAATTTTGGTTAAATCTTTGGAGGAATTACTGTTCAGTACATTTGTAGAATGAAAAAAAGTTTGTTCGTAAAAACATTTTTTTTTTTTTGAAATTGATCACTCATACATCTGCATTGACATACAGCATAGCTTAATATAATATCAAAATCTGCATAATTTGTATATATCTATCACCTTTTCATACAACAGATTTATACACTCGACTCTCAAAGTATGTCAAAATGTTCCAAACATGATCATGATATTTGCTAACGCAATGAAAACAATGAATTCAATGACAATGGAAACTTGCAGAGCTGTCTGTCATCCCTTTGACAACAAAGTGGTACCATCCATCCTACCCGTTACCTTACTCTCCGACTCTCGGTGGAAACAACTTACCGAGATTGAACGCCAGTTATCTCCCTTGGACCTTCACATGCCATACATACTGTGTACAACCAATATTCCCCCAGCATTAATTTTGTCCTATCTATATAATCTGTAGTGTATTAATATTCGCTGTCAGATTAAATTTGCCCTCATTTTGGAGGTTGAAAAAGGCGAAAATTTCTTAAAAGTTCTTAAAGGAATGTTTAAATTGGTCATCTGTTTATTATTTCATTACCATTGGTGACCAACAATAATCTTATGTTAGTTAGCAAAATGTCAACCCTCCTTTTAAACTTGATCAATACATTTTGTCCATATTTGTATAATAAATAGTTATCCCTTCGATCTTAAGGTGGAGAGTCCCAGCACTGTGTTGTATCTTCAGCGAAGGAGAGTTCCCATCACATTTTGCTGACTTAATTTATTATAGGAAAGGATTATATACAAAAGAAATATATTGATTATTATTTTCTTTTTCACAATAACACCTCCACAACTTGGATTCAATCCCCACACCTCTTGCAAGGAGATTATCAACTGTGCCAATGGTCACGATACATTTGAGTATTTTTCTGCATTATTACTGGGAATAATTTCAAAATGTTATAACTCCCTTAAAAGGTCTGCAGCCAATGGCTAGGGCTCAAAGTTGACCTTTGACATTTATCAATTTCAGTAGTCAAATCCCCTTTTCCCTGAAAACACATGTCAAATAGACATTTCCTTACAAACCCAAGATACGAAGCTCATTTTGGAAAGTCAGTGAGACACATGTATGTTCTATTCCGTCTTTGCGTATTGCAGAGTTATCTTCTCTTGTGAGCAGGTATTGATTGGTACGTCATTGGTTTGTGTGAGAAAATCACATTGTTTTCCCAAAAATTGATGACGTTACTCTCACAAACCAATGACGTAACAATCAATACCTGCTCACAAGAGCAGATAACTCTGCAATACGAAAAGACGGAATTGACAGCCCTGCAATAGATCATCTTCATATGAATATATAGGGGAAATGATGTGATTTAACAGGGAAATAACTGATCAAGTCCTGTAATCCTGTATATACTGCTGATCAAGTCCTGTATATACTGCTGACAAGTGATGGGACTCTCTATATCTATATAATTTAATTTTTACTGCTGCTAGTGTGATATGGCTGTTCACACAAATTGTATGTAGGTTACACCCAGTATAAGGTAACAAGTAGGAGGATATATAAGCCTATATACACCACTCAAAATATTAGCACTAATGTTACAGCAACATTTTCATCACATAAAATTTCAAAAATGATTTAATATTGCAGGGCAAATGAGCACACATCTTTCAATAACACACACAGCTTCACGTATGTAGGGTAGAACTGTATGGCCTTACCTTCATCACAAATACACAACAACAATGGTCACCGACACCCTACACCTATCACTGACCATTAGCACTTCTTACTTCAATCACCATACAAGTTATTGCTGCAGTGACTATTATCTCGTAGTGAAATATGTACATTGTTTATCTGGATGAAAACAAATGCCATGCATTTCTACCATTTATAAATATAAATGCAATTTACATAAAATACTTGCATTTTTGATGCATTTTTTGATGCAAATGAATAATGAGTAATATGACACGATAACTTTAATCCTCGTTTGACTATAACACAATAGAACCTCTGTTAACATCATTCCCCGTGTCTGTTCATGTCTGGTATAGGGATCTCACAGTACACATTGCTAATCTTCTTTTAAATATATTGTATTTACCATAACTAAGATGATATAGCACTTTTTCTTAAAATCACAGAGGTTTCACTTAGATATATTAATTAATTTTGATAATTTTGTATGAAGATGAAATCGTTTCAAATTACCTCCCTTTGTACCAGGGCATATGCATTGGAAATAATTGTTTCAAATGACCTCCCTTTGTACCAGGACATACATTGGAAATAATTGTGTTTCAAATTACCTCCCTTTGTACCAGGACATACATTGGAAATAATTGTGTTTCAAATTACCTCCCTTTGTACTAGGGCATTGTTATCTTCAGATCTGATGTTGATGTAATCAATTTTAAATGTGGGATTTCAGATATCTAATGTTTCCCAAAATTAATTGCATTTGCTCATTACTAAATATAACCCACATGTCTGGACTAGGTAAGGGGAGATAATCTAAACAGAATTCCAAAATGTCCTTCTGATACTATTATAATCTCTCTTGTCTTCTACCATCCAATTTTGGACGGAGAGGAACACTTCTATTTCATTTTGTTAATTGTAAACTTTTTCCAGTCTGACTTTCGATTGTTAAGAAATGAAGTTTGCATCTTATTAGGTAAAAAATGATATTAAATTAGAATGAACCTAGTTTATGAATTACAAATATTGATTAGCACTTTTATATCATTGCAGTGTCAGCTGTGTATCCTTGTTACGTTTAGGGGGTGGCGGTGGCGGTTTTCCCTTTTTGCCTACAGATCCGTCCATAGGGTTTTCTAACCCTGCTAGCAGTTCTGGAGGAGGTGGGGGTAGGTCGTTAATGTCCATTATTCCCTCACATTCCTCAAATGTTTCATAAATAGGGTCAATATTTGTTTGCACAGAGATTTCGCTTTGGCCTGCTAGTTCAGTTGATAAACGCGTCGTTTCACTCCGTCGTGGCGGGGGTGGTGGAAACATTTTTTTATTGTCAATGGTTCCCCCTTTGTTTGAGTTGACAGAGTTTGGCCTTGGGGGGACTGCTGGTCCGTTTGAGGGATAGTGGTGGCCCCCGTGGGGTTGCCCCTGGTTTGCATGACCTTGTCCGTGAGAATACAGGGGCTCCCCATGGGGATGACTCTGATGATGAGGGCCCCCATGAGGACCTCCATGATAACTAGCACCGTTGGAGGATGTTTTTGATTGGTTTTGTTCTGTTGGTTTCGGCAGAGTTGCTGGAGGAATTTTTCCATTGGAGCCTCGATTTTGATGAGGTCTCTTGGACAGTTCTGCTAGAAATGGAAGTGGTTGTTGCTGTTCATATATTCCTTCCTCCTGCGATGGTGACAAAGGAGTCATTTGATCAGTGTGTGAGGGCTGTGACTGACTCCTTACCCCTGCAGAACTGTGGGGGCGAGGCATTGCCATGGAGACAGGTGGTGGTGGAGGGGGTACATTACATGAGTGTGTAGTTCGCGCCTGTGGGCCTGGGCGTACACGTATTTGGTCATACATTGTGTTATCCTGTTGGGAAGCTGAGGAATAGGGCACCTGTTGTCCACCATGCTGTGGCCCCTGATGAGTCCCTTGGTGTCCACTCTGATGTGCCCCCTGGTGACCACTTTGATATGCCCCCTGGTGCCCTCCGTAAACATGCTGAGGTATCTGGGATGAGGACGAAGACTCAGGGAGAGAAGTTCTGACCCCACTGCCACCCATCATAGGGTCAGAGGTCGACATGACCTGAGCATGTTTAGGGTTTTTGACAGATGGTGATGTCACAGAGTGGTTCATAATGGCTGGGGGAGTAGGAGGAGCCACAGGAATAGCGGCCTTACTTGGAGACGCCCCTAGAGTCTCTGACCCAGACTTCGATGATCGACGAATATGGCCCATACCCGAGGTTGATTGACCTCCAACATACTGGTTTTGCAGGAGAGGCATGGGTGGAGGCATGGGTATCATTCCCTTTGGGGTGGAGGGGGAGGACATGCCTGATGAGGTTGAGGAACCAGAGCCTACAGGGGTAGGGGAACCATCAGCAAAGTTACTTTGGGCCAGGGATATGTGAGTCTGCAGCATAGAGGTTGGTGGAGGGGGCAAAGGAGGTTGGGACAGTGGCAGGGGTGATGGGGGCTTTGTCATGTGTCCTGGTGGGGGCATAGGGGGAGGGGGACTTTTATTAGCAGACACAGGGGGAGAGGGCATGGGGGCTGGAGAAGGGGGCTGGGGGTAGTGCTGTGAAGAGTAATTTGAGTGAGGGGGATAGGTTTGTTGTGGTGGTTGGGGAGGAGCAGGACGGGATTTCACCGGGGGCGACATCAGGGGCAGTGGCATCTTAATACCAGCTGGGGGTGGTGGCACAGGGGGAGCCCTACCCTGGGACTTGCCATAATATGGGAGGGGTGGGGGTGACATCATCTCCTCCCGGCAGTAAGGGGGATGGGGAGGAGGAGACATCATTTCTCTGTATGGGGGTGGAGAAGACACCATCTCACGTTGTGGGGCTGGGGAGGTTGGCATCATGAGTTTGAGGGGTGGGGCCTGACTAGAGGATGAGGGAGAGGCTGGAATCACGGGATGGCATGTGGGGTAGGGCTGTGTGGGACATTTGAGAGGTGGTGGGGAGGGAGGTACCTTATTTAGGGCATGCAGATTTTGTGGGGAAGTGTTTTTTGATGAAGGGTTTGAGGGGATGACAGTATAATCCAGAGACTGGGACAGGGACTTGGAATCCCGACTATCCCGACTATCCCGGCTGTCCCGACTATCCCGACTATCCCGACTACCATCTGACCCCTTTCTTTCATGTCGTCTCACACGATCCTCATGAAGCGCTGGTGCCGATTTTCTACGCTCCTTGTCTTGGATTTGTACTGGACTTGTTATTGATGGCTTGCGTTCGTGACCCATAGACTCACATGACGACACACTACTACCCTCCATTGCAGTTTGGTACATTTCAGAAATCTGTCTTGTTGTACCGGTTGTTACAGGAAGCTTTGCACGCATCTTACTCCTAGATGACGACATGGCGTGTCTGTTTTCACCACTTGAATTTGAATCCTCACTTGAATCAGTTGAAGCACTAGTGATTGAGTCACGATGGCGTACATGTACCAACTCCTCTCCCGAGTCTGCGTTTATTACACTATGGGTATTGCTAAAGGAGACACGTTTCACTGGTTGTTTTGGCATACCGCCCATTTCCATACAATGCTGTCCAGTCAATGAAGGTTTCCTTTCATGTTGATGATGAGGATGTGATGATGTCACTTCTAATGCAACTACATCATCCTCTACAATTGTACTATCACTCCCGGAACTATTCCGCACTAAATTTGCAGTTTTCAATGCAACAATTGAATGTCGTGATCCGGGCTCGGGCAACGAGATCCTGCTGTCATTTAAATTTCCCTCTGTGTTTAGATTAAGAATAGTTTCACAAGTATCGTCAGATATGCTAGTTCGCAGATCGCGGGTATCCCAAGAAGCCACTTCCCTTTGGAGACGTTCATAGTTGGCCAACAGTTGTTTCCCATACTGCAAAAGATAAGTTATACATTTGAATATTTCTCACAATAATATAAATAGGGCAGGAGGCTCACTGTTTTAAAATGATGTCGATACTTTACTGATTCATACAGTAATATATATAAATCACATGTCATTATGATGCTAATTGATATAAGGGTGTTAGAATTTTACTGAGACTGATCCTTAACAGTAGGCTCTATTACTGAAACTGATCCCTAACAGGAGGCCCTATTACTGAGACTGATCCTTAACAGTAGGCTCTATTACTGAGACTGGTCCTTAACAGGAGGCTCTATTACTGAGACTGGTCCTTAACAGGAGGCTCTATTACTTAGACTGATCCTTAACAGTAGGCTCTATTACTGAGACTGGTCCTTAACAGTAGGCTCTATTACTTAGTAAGACTGATCCTTAACAGGAGGCTCTATTACTGAGACTGATCCTTAACAGGAGGCCCTATTACTGAGACTGATCCTTAGCAGGAGGCTCTATAATGATAGATGGGTTGTGCCTATGTAGTATCATCCCTGAAATTCCAGTGGTTACACTCTTGTATGTTCTCTTTACCGCTGGATTGTCATGACGCAAATCAAATGCTCGGTAATCTCCACCTTGCTGATGATACAAGAACACAAGTTTGATCATTTGATATACATCAAAAGAATCCCGCAGAAGCTTAACGGTAAAACTGAAGTCAGGTGTCACTCCTCGGTAATCTTTAAAGACAGGTATCGGCCTAGTGATTGGTCAGTTTTGCTATTTTACCAGAAAGCAATCCAATAACTAGCCGTGTGCCTTCTATTTTTGCGTGACATTTTCCGTGTGAGCAGAGAATACGTGTGAGCTTGACCCCTAGAACTGCGAGGACGATGGAGTATGAGGTAGGTTAGTTAATGTAACCATCACAGAAAGGGGTTTGTTATTACTACATGATATCTTTGGAGTGTTGTTATGCTGGTTTCACAATTTATTTTCTCTGTTAAGACAAAAACTGAAGTATAATGAAACTCCTGTAGATCTGGATTCAATACAGTAGTTTATCACTGGAAACAGAATATGGTAGATACAAAGTGGATACTATGTAGTAACATAGCTTCTAGAAATATAACTTATTTGTAATGATCCGAATTCATAAAAGCAACAAAAACGTACATCTATTGCTTGCCTGTATTTTATTAGATGTAATACTCTCCTTCGAAAATGAAATCATAAAATCTATTGTCCCTGCCACTGACCTTAAAATCTCTGCTTGTCGAGAGTCATTACTTGTGTACTAACTCTCTCAGGACCTTACCTTGGCTATACGAATTCCCATAACCCACTGATCCAGCGCAGCCTTATTCTCCGTACAGAAGTAGCGGATATACTTTGATGTCTTCTTCTGAATTTGAGGATGCTGCACATATAGAAAAAGGTACAATATCAGTTTTCATCTTCAAAACTAGCTTTTTGGTTTGTGTCAAAAGAGAGATAGCTACCCAATGGTACACTCTGGGGGCAGAGTTCCGTATCAGACATCAGATAAGGCATAATTGTGTCTGATAGGACAACCTGCCTACCCTATATAGAAAATTAGTCTGTCCCATCATGTAAATGGATCAGTGTTACAAGCCAGAATTATTACAGTAAACCTAATGTCCCAGCGGAGTCCTGACAACAGCGTTAAGTCACCTCTGGAAACGTTAGTCTCTGTGGACAAGTTGTCTCTGTTGTCTGTTAGTATCTCAATACAGGTAGAACGAGTCAAAGAAGTTTATATCTCAACACAAGTGGTCCCTTTAGACATTTAATCTCCCACTGTATCCATCTGAACACATGTACATCAAGTCCTGTGTATGTAGCACCCAGTGTGGGTCTCACAGAGTAACTATGGTAGTCACACGGTTTCTGCCCTGGATTTAACAGCCAAAACACTACTGCTACATATACGGATGTAACAGTTTTGTATGAAACACAAGCACACTCACAAAATCTGGTTAAAATTAAACATAAACACTTGATTAAGATAAGGCTGGGACTGATGGAGGACAGGATGTAAACAGGGACTTGTTTCCTTGTAATGATGCAGTCACGACCCAACACAACGAAAAACGTGTACTACGTCTCGGTGATTTCAGTGGTATTGGTCTTTTTTAAGGTTTTGTTTAGTTTTATCAGTTACACCCACTCCACCCAATAGAGCCACTTTTACTGACCCGTCACTTAGGTGCAACTTCACAGTTAATTTATTGCTCACGATCTTAAGCTCTGCACCCTAACATAGACCCCCTCCCGACAATATTTTACTTACAAAATGATCTGGGCATTATGATAAGTTCTAAGCACTATATGAAATGATCTGACTATGTAGTGGAACTATTTCAGCAATGTATCTGTCCCAATCGTAACATGGAACTACATGTATATGGATTTATCTTAATTAAGCAATGATATTTTTAGCAAATGTTGTTACAGTCCTATAACAATATTGCTAAAATATTAATTATTTACATTTACATTTTGATAGGGCAGTTACCCTTATTAAGTTATTTCCAACAGTGACCTCTTTGAACAGCAAGTTAAGTGTTGACAACAATGAAATTGATGACGTCACAAGAGATTGATGACATTACAATAGCAAATGTTGTTATGGCCTCATAACAACATTTGCCTTCTCAATGCATTGCAGTGGAAGGATGCAGAGCTAATGTAAATATCACAGTATGAGATTCTCTTCACACAGTGTGGATTTATCTAAGCTTGATTGATTGATTGATTGATCTTTACGTCCTTGTTCTGGTTATAACCGAGCCTAGGACAAATTTATCTAAGCACTACAAGGAATGATCTTTTCACTGTATGGACTATCTTATATCTCTATGGGGTAATCCTGGCACTGCTTAGAATGATCTTATCTCAGTATTGAAGGGTCAACACCATCAAATCACCTTAAAACTATGGAGTAATCTTACCATTATATGCAATAATCTTGACACTGCATTGTTTTATCTTACACAGCATTAAATAATCATAACACTGTATGGAATTATCTTGACATTAAAAACGATCTAATAATTATGAAATCATTTTAAGGCCTAATGCTGCATGGAAGTATCTTACCAATGTATGGATAGTAATAATACCTTCAAATTATCTTAACAATCTTGAATAATCTTACAGTTGCAAGGAATAATCTCAATACTGTATTGACTTACCTTAACCTAGTATTGTATTATCTTAACAGTGCATGGAATGATCTTAAAACTGTGAAGAATATCTTAATTATCACAGTATGGAATGATCTTATTATTGTATTGAATGATATAAGCACTACAGTGTATATGATATTATTTTAGTACAGTAGATTTCGCTTAATATCACTTCCCATTTGTCAGAGAAAAACATGATATTAACAGAAACATGACATAAACAGAATATGTATTTTTCTGACGTTTTTCAGCCCTCAAAACCGGAAGTGAACTTAGTCAAATGCCTAAGTGGTGTGGCTCTATGAATTGAAGAAGATTGTAAAATAAAGATATTTTGTAACTAACCTTGTTCTTTACTCTAGTTGAAATGTAGTATACGTAAATAAGTATAGAAATAAATATGTTCTTTGTAATTTATTTCAGTATGCAGTTACATTTCATATATATAGTTAGTAGCAAAATGACGATCAGTACGATCGTAATTATGATTATTTACTGCAGTAGTGATGAAGGCATACAAGTGTTTGGCTGGTATTCTGCATCAAATTCAATTGTAAACATGACACTTGGTAAATATTTACATTTATCTTGACATGTATACTGCTCTTTCGCTAGTAACATCTTTTTATAGTTTAATTTCTTCAGATATTTGCTGCAAGTGTGACATCGTTTTCTGCGAGTTTGTCTAGCTATCGTACGGTGACCTTTTACCTTTGAAACGTAGCATTTCATTGGATGACCTCAATATGCAAATAAGAACACCAGGCAATCAGATGCCGTATTATGAAATCGCGTTAAACCAGCCGTAAACGAGGGAAGTGAAAAATGTAACTTCCTGTTACGATAATTTGAACAATAAATGATAACACAAAAGGCATTCTCTTTATTACATCGACATTTGGAAAGTGTAATTAAACATAGGTCATAATTTTGCAATGAATAAATTCTCGCAGATCACGATTTTACACCAGCAGCATACGGTAGAATTACGACAACACCATGTCGGCGTCGTACGTGGGTTATTTGAGATTCAAAACAAAGACGATTTTTTCGTATTGTACGTGAACCTTGGTCAATCTTAAATAATTTAAGAAACTTATTGTTTGAAAGACAATCTTTATTTTAATCTCAATCAGCATTCGTCATAGTTTACGGAAGACCATCCACTTGTATGCCTACTTCACAACAACGTAAATTCAATCTGGAGACGAGCTGTCTGTGAATTAGTTGAAAGATTACATCACACTTGGCATTAGAAAAGTTTACAGATGTAAGACTGTCCTAGCTCCCCCAACCACAGGTGAATATCCTGTTAACAAGTATGTAAGGTCAACCTATTGTTTAACAGTCAGCCAGGTGTAACCTATTGTTTGACAGTCAGCCAGGTGTAACAAATACCCCGTTAGGGCGCGGCGTTATTTACATAACGCGTTCAGGTGTGACAGAAGGTCCCCGGGGGCATTTATCATGAGTCACTACCGCAATTTACCTGTATTTTTTTTGTGACTGTGGCCAAAATAAAGTGATATTAAGAGAAATCGACATAAAATCAGGTGATAATAAAAGAATTGAATTGCACAGATTATATAGCAGGAAAAACGGGTGCATCAAAAAACATGATAATAACCGAAAAGTGACATTAAGCGACGTGATATTAAGTGAAATGTACATGTAGTATGAAATTGTCTTAACATTACATCATCTAAAGATTGTATACAATGATCGTAGCACAGTATGATATCATATCTTATCAATGTATGGAATTATCTTAACTCTATGATATTATCTTATTAACTCAATGATATTATCTTATTAACACTATGATATTATCTTATTAACACTATGATATTATCTTATTAAAACTATGATAATATCTTATTAACACTATGATATTATCTTATTAACACTATAATATTATCTTATTAACACAATGATATTATCTTATTAACACTATGATAATATCTTATTATCACTATGATATTATCTTATTAACACTATGATATTATCTTATTAACTCAATGATATTATCTTATTAACACTATGATATTATCTTATTAACACTATGATAATGTCTTATTAACACTATGATATTATCTTATTAACACTATAATATTATCTTAACACTGCACAGAATAATTCATTACTGTTTGGAATCATCCCGATATTCAACAGAATTAACTTTGCACTGTATAATATTACCTCAAAACAGTATTTGATAATCCAAACACAGCATGAAATGATTTAAACAGATCTGTATGAATTGGAGCACTGATTGGTCAGGATGGGCTCCTTATTATCTTAGTGTCTAAACATGGTATAGACTGATCTTAGCAACATTTTGAAAGCAAAATCATTTGGCCTGACAGGCCAGGTGTAACAAATTCTATCAGATTTATGGCATGCATAAATAAATTCAATAACTTTTCTATTTCCGTTTAGATTGTAATAGATGCATGATCTCGAATTTAAAATGATCACACACTGGCATTCAAGAAACACAAAGATCACAAAGATATTTCACCAATGTGTATATGAAACATGAGAAAACAAGCCTTCACATAATGCAAGGTTGAATAGTGGAAATGTGAAGGTAAGGGTGAATAGTATAATGTGAAAGAAAGGATAAATAGGGAAAAAGTGAAGGTAAGGGTGAATAGTATAATGTGAAAGAAAGGATAAATAGGGAAAAAGTGAAGGTAAGGGTGAATAGTATAATGTGAGAGAAAGGATAAATAGTGGAATTGTGAAAGTAAGGGCGAATAGTATAATGTGAAAGAAAGGATAAATAGTGGAATTGTGAAGGTAAGGGTGAATAGTATAATGTGAAAGAAAGGATAAATAGTGGAATTGTGAAAGTAAGGGTGAATAGTATAATGTGAAAGAAAGGATAAATAGGGGAAATGTGAAGGTAAGGGTGAATAGTATAATGTGAAAGAGAGGGTGAACTGGGGAAATGTGAAGGAAGATTGAACTGGGGAAATGTGAAGTAAAGGTGAAGAGGGAAAATGTGAAGGAAAGAGTGAATAAGGAAAATGTGAAGGAAGGGTGAACAGGGGAAATGTTAAGGTAAGGGTGAACTGGGGAAATGTGAAGGAAAGAGTGAACTGGGGAAATGTGAAGGAAGGGTGAACAGGGGAAATGTGAAGTAAAGGTGAACAGGAAAAATGTGAAGGAAAGATTAAATAAGGAAAATGTGAAGTAAAGGGTGAATAAGGGAAAATGTGAAGGAAGGAGTGAACAGGCCTAGGGGAAATGTAAAGGAAAGGGTAAACAAGGGAAATGTGAAGAAAACGGTGAAGAGGAGAAACATACAGGGTGAGGAGGACATGTGAATGACATGTTAAACATGAAATGTGAAATGGAATAGAAGAAGGATACTGAGAAAATAAAGAAAGAAGAAAGACTGAAGAGAAGAAAATGTAAAGGAACCATGAAAGAAAGAAGGAATAGAAAAGGGAATAGGAGGCAATAAATAGAGAACAAGTGAAGGAGAGGGTTAAAGTCTATGTTAGTGATGTGGCTGTAATAGCTGACTTCCTGACACCATCTGACTGTCAGTGGGTGACTAATTATATCTCCTAGGTACAGCCTGACACAATATTAACACTTACAGACATATGACGCTGGCTGGCATTATCTATAACCAGCGGAGAATCTTATCAATGAAATCAAATGATTTCACACTTAAAATTGCCACATCATTAAAATAAATGAAGAAAAACATTTTAAGGTAGGCGTCAATGTTTGTGTGAAAGTAGGCGTAAATGTGTTGTGCTAAGTTAAAATAACTTGACTATTGACAAGTGCATTGTAATGTTTAGCTTACACTGTTTTACTAGCACAATGTTAACTGAGGAATGAGTGTAAATGAACTGTGGTAGAGGCAGTGATATTTGTGTAATAAACTCTTAAATGATGAACATCTACTAGAATTTTGTAAAATCTGTGGGATGAGGGATGCTTACCTTGAGAGCGAAGCAATGATCAGTAGGGGCATGGTACTTCTTCTTCCAGCCAAGGCCGAAGTACACATCCACGAAATCAAACTGAACGAGACAGGTCAAGTCCTTGGATGACTGAAATACACATTGAAATAATCCTCAGAACCTGCTTATCTCCCTTACCAATCAACCTCAGAAATAACAGTGTTATCTCCCTAGTTATTGCCCTTTACTTTTTTCAAAATGATTGTTTCTTTTCCCATTCGCTACAGATATAAATATAAACAGAACCAATATAAGTGGGTGTTTTTTTAAATATCTAAAGATCATTATAAAGATTATTTCCATTTGTTAGTGATGATTTTCAGAATAAAACATTATAAATGGGTAGATGTGAAAATTATAACTACATCATTTTTGAAAACTTTACAAAATGATTATTATTTAAAGTATAAGCACCTCCATGCTTGATACCATGTACATTGAATCACTAATCTATGGACTTACATAAGCTTATTGACAGATGTGCTTAAACACAATCTACAAAATTAGACTTCGTATTTTGCACATAACAGCGATCTTGAATGATGCGTGTATTTAGTAACAAAATCTAATACAGTAACTAACAAGCAACGTAAATCATAGGTGTATCTGTAATTTCCTGCTGATTTACAACTTATACAGCAATAACCTAAAACACGAATCACTGAACATTGAAGGCAGATAAAAGCAATCACATTTGAAATAATTCTGCACCAGACATGAAGCTAGTTATGTGTGATGACCAAACCATCTGCTATCAGCAGAGTGAGATTTACATGTAAGTTATATGTGTTTAACTCCAGTCAGGTTACACAATCAGCCATGGAAACCCTTCAAGCGGTCTACCTTGCTGTAATAAACGCATCAAACCTGCCACACTCAACTTCCTGGCTACTATAACTCTATCAGAAGATCGGCATCCCCTGGGAGCTTGAATCCTTTGCAAAGCATCAGAATGAAACTTAAGCTTTTTCATGACCAAGTTCACTTGGTATATAATATGTACATATATATCACATTTAAAGCGGCCATGTTGTTTTCATGTGTTGTTTTCCCATTCCGACTTGGCTTCACAAAGTAGGAAAGTTTTTGAATCGTTGCCAAACCATTTTACATTAACTGCCTATCGTTATGTAACCTAAAACACAGCCGAGTATGCTCTGCAGTAAAGAGTTCCAACCTCTCCGCACACTTTGTCTGTACTGTGTAAATATTTTAAACTTTTTTATCTAGACAGATATTGTTTAGTCTACTTCCCCAAACTAAGGTACAAGTAGAAGAAAGAAAAGTCTCACTATCTATACCCTTAGTAATTGTTTAGGTTAAACTTAATTGTTTATTTTATCTAAAGGTTCTCCAAAATACACAAACAATCTGCATACACTAAATGTATAAACTCAGGCAGATTCTTTTTCTGGTAATGAGCTAAATACAGAAACATTTATACCTCTTTCCACTCAAACATAATTATCCTCTGTCCCTGTGCTATTTTCTAAGGTTAAGTAAAGACATGAAGCTTTTAGAACAAAGACTGTTTCCAGTGTCTAGAAACCTGACATTGAAGCCCTCAGAACAACAAGAATTCCACGAAAGTGGATGTGTCGCCTGCGCAGAAAGCTGGGAGATTACAAAGAAATAGATACACTTTTCATTTCAAGAAATAATGTTAAAAGTAAGCAATAATCATAGATTATGTTTTTGGATGGCATCATTTTGTTATATAATCTGTTATCCTGGGAAGAATACTCTTTAAGGAAGTTTTAAGGAACTTGCTATGGATACTCATTGTCTCAATTCCATTCCAATATGGTGTCCACAACCAAGACCAGCATCGCCTCATTGGTATCCATAACAAAATTCTTGAAAATGCAAGTATGCTTAGCACTGCATGAAGTTTGAGTTTGATCGGCCCAAGGAAACTCAAGTTATCGCACGAAAACAGATTCCTATTTATAGTAACAGTGACTTTGACCTTTGAACTTTAGACCTGAAAAGCAATACCAAGCAAGCACTTTTGGTAAGGAAGCACTGCATGAAGGTTGAGTTTGATCGGCCCAAGGAAACTCAAGTTATCGCGCGAAAACAGATTTTCTATTTATAGTAACAGTGACCTTGACCTTTGACCTTCGGACCTGAAAAGCAATTTCAAGCAAGCACTTTTGGTAAGGATGTACTGCATGAAGTTTCAGTTTGTTCGGCTCAAGGAAACTCAAGTAATCGCACGAAAAACAGATTTTCTATTTATAGTAACAGTGACCTTGACCTTTGAACTTTATACCTGAAAAGCAATCCCAAGCAAGCACTTTTGGTAAGGAAGCACTGTATGAAGTTTGAGTTTGATCGGCCCAAGGAAACTCAAGTTATCGCACGAAAACATATTTTCTATTTATAGTAACAGTGACCTTGACCTTTGACCTTCGGACCTGAAAAGCAATCCCGAGCAAGCACTTTTGGTAAGGAAGCACTGTATGAAGTTTCATTTTGATCGGCCCAGGGAAACTCAAGTTATCGCACGAAAACCCGCCGACACCGCCGACATAGCACCTATGTGTCACCAGCTTTTCACAGGCGACACAAAAACTGCTCCCAGGGTCTAGAGACCTGACATTGAAGCCGTCAGAACAAAGACTGCGCCAGTGTCTAGAGACCTTTACATTGAATTCCTCAGAACAAAGACTGCTCCCAGGGTCTAGAGACCGGACATTGAAGCCGTCAGAACAAAGACTGCTCCAGTGTCTAGAGACCTGACATTGATTTCCTCAGAACAAAGACGGCTCCCAGTGTCTAGAGCCCTGACATTGAATTCCTCAGACCAAAGACTGCTCCCAGTCTCTAGAGACCTGACATTGAATTCCTCAGAACAAAGACTTCTCCCAGTGTCTAGAGACCTAAGATTGAATTCCTCAGAACAAAGACTGCCCCAGTGTCTAGAATCCTAACATTGAAGCCCTCAGAACAAAGCCTGCTCCCTCTGTCTAGAGACCTAAAATTGAAGCCGTCAGAACAAAGACTGCGCCAGTGTCTAGAATCCTAACATTGAAGCCCTCAGAACAAAGACTTCAGAACAAAGACTGCTCCTAGGGTCTAGAGACCTGACATTGAAGCATTCAGAACAAAGACTGCTCCCAGTGTCTTGAGACCTGACATTGAAGCCCTCAGACCAAAGACTATCCCAGTGTCTAGAAACCTGACATCGAAGCCCTCAGAACAAAGACTGCTCCCTCTGTCTAGAAACCTAACATTGAAGCCCTCAGAACAAAGACTGCTCCCAGTGTCTAGAGCCCTGACATTGAATTCCTCAGAACAAATACTGTTCCCAGTGTCTAGAGACCTAACATTAAATTCCTCAGAACAAAGACTGCTCCCTCTGTCTAGAAACCTAACATTGAAGCCCTCAGAACAAAGCCTGCTCCCAGTGTCTAGAGACCTGACATTGAATTACTCAGAACAAAGAATTCTCCCAGTGTCTAGAGACCTGACATTGAATTCCTCAGAACAGAGACTTCTCCCAGTGTCTAGAGACCTAAGATTGAATTCCACAGAACAAAGACTGCGCCAGTGTCTAGAATCCTAACATTGAAGTCCTCAGAACAAAGACTTCTCCCAGTGACTAAAAACCTGACATTGAATTCCTCAGAACAAAGACTGCTCCCAGGGTCAAGAGACCTGACATTGAATTCCTCAGAACAAAGACTCCTCCCAGTGTCTAGAATCCTAACATTGAATTCCTCAGAACAAAGACTTCTCCCAGTGTCCAAAAACCTGACATTGAATTCCTCAGAACAGAGACTTCTCCCAGTGTCTAAAAACCTGACATTGAATTCCTCAGAACAGAGACTTCTCCCAGTGTCTAGAGACCTGACATTGAAGCCGTCAGAACAAAGACTGCGCCAGTGTCTAGAATCCTAACATTGAATTCCTCAGAACAAAGACTTCCCCCAGTGTCTAGAGACCTGACATTGAATTCCCCAGAACAAAGACTTCTCCCAGTGTCTAGAGACCTAACATTAAATTCCTCAGAACAAAGACTGCTCCCAGGGTCTAGAGACATGACATTGAAGCCCTCAGAACAAAGACTACCCCAGTGTCTAGAAACCTGACATTGAAGCCCTCAGAACAAAGACTTCAGAACAAAGACTGCTCCTAGGGTCTAGAGACCTGACATTGAAGCCCTCAGACCAAAGACTATCCCAGTGTCTAGAAACCTGACATTGAATTCCTCAGAACAGAGACTTCTCCCAGTGTCTAGAGACCTGATATTGAATTCCTCAGAACAAAGACTGCCCCAGGGTCTAGAATCCTAACATTGAAGCCCTCAGAACAAAGACTTCAGAACAAAGACTGCTCCTAGGGTCTAGAGACCTGACATTGAAGTCCTCAGAACAAAGACTGCTCCCAGTGCCTAGAGACCTGACATTGAATTCCTCAGAACAGAGACTTCTCCCAGTGTCTAGAGACCTAACATTAAATTCCTCAGAACAAAGACTGCTCCCTCTGTCTAGAAACCTAACATTGAAGCCCTCAGAACAAAGACTTCTCCCAGTGGCTAGAGACCTGACATTGAATTCCTCAGAACAAATACTGTTCCCAGTGTCTAGAGACCTAACATTGAAGCCCTCAGAACAAAGACTACCCCAGTGTCTAGAAACCTGACATTGAAGCCCTCAGAACAAAGACTTCAGAACAAAGACTGCTCCTAGGGTCTAGAGACCTGACATTGAAGTCCTCAGAACAAAGACTGCTCCCAGGGTCTAGAGACATGACATTGAAGCCCTCAGAACAAAGACTTCAGAACAAAGACTGCTCCTAGGGTCTAGAGACCTGACATTGAAGTCCTCAGAACAAAGACTGCTCCCAGTGTCTAGAGCCCTGACATTGAAGCCGTCAGAACAAAGACTGCGCCAGTGTCTAGAATCCTAACATTGAATTCCTCAGAACAAAGACTGCTCCCAGTGCCTAGAGACCTGACATTGAATTCCTCAGAACAGAGACTTCTCCCAGTGTCTAGAGACCTAACATTAAATTCCTCAGAACAAAGACTGCTCCCAGGGTCTAGAGACCTAACATTGAATTCCTCAGAACAAAGACTGCTCCCAGGGTCTAGAGACATGACATTGAAGCCCTCAGAACAAAGACTTCTCCCAGTGACTAAAAACCTGACATTGAATTCCTCAGAACAAATACTGTTCCCAGTGTCTAGAGACCTAACATTGAAGCCGTCATAACAAAGACTGCTCCCTCTGTCTAGAGGCCTAACATTGAAGCCCTCAGAACAAAGACTTCTCCCAGTGACTAAAAACCTGACATTGAATTCCTCAGAACAAATACTGTTCCCAGTGTCTAGAGACCTAACATTAAATTCCTCAGAACAAAGACTGCTCCCTCTGTCTAGAGACCTGACATTGAAGCCCTCAGAACAAAGACTATCCCAGTGTCTAGAAACCTGACATTGAAGCCCTCAGAACAAAGACTGCTCCCTCTGTCTAGAGACCTAACATTGAAGCCGTCAGAACAAAGACTGCTCCCAGTGTCTAGAGACCTGACATTGAAGCCGTCAGAACAAAGACTGCTCCCAGTGTTTAGAAACCTGACATTGAAGCCGTCAGAACAAAGACTGCTCCCAGTGTCTAGAATCCTAACATTGAATTCCTCAGAACAAAGACTGCCCCAGTGTCTAGAGACCTGACATTGAAGCCGTCAGAACAAAGACTGCTCCCAGTGTCTAGAAACCTGACATTGAAGCCCTCAGAACAAAGACTGCTCCCTCTGTCTAGAGATCTGCATTTGAAGCCCTCAGAACATTGACTGCTTCCAGTGTCTACAGACTTGATTTGAAAGCTTCAATGACCAAAAACCTTTAAAACAAAGACTGTTGCATTTGTCTAAAGACCTAAGCCTCATAATTATGAATGCTGCCCTTTTATATAGCCCTGAATTCTTTTCAACCTTTCTCCTATGCCTAAAGACCTGAAGCCTCAGCAAAATCACTGCGCCATTTCTCTTAAAACCTGAAGCGCTCAAAACAAAGATTGTTGCCCATGTCAAGATACATGTAGCCCTCTGAACAAAGATCTATCCCTACCTTGCTGATTTTTCCTTTTGGATTATAGTAGAGACCTGAAGCCCTCAGAACAAAGAAGAATTTCTTCCAGGCCTTTTTGCCGTCAGACTTGAGGTACATCACACCCTCCACTTCTGGCACCTGGGCACCACCAGTGAAAAATTCCTAAAAAAGACCAACAAAGATTAATTTTCATATTTAAGTAATCAAACATCTGTTCTTCATTGGATAGCAAAATAGAACCTATGTTCAATAGATAGGACTATAAGTTATTAAAATTGCTAAATGTGATCAAACTAAATACAGATATAAATAAAATCATAGTTATGGTGATTTAATAAATTCATATAATCATAACTGTACAGTCATTTAGTCATAGTACATGAGTAAAAATGTGTAATATATCCAATAGTGATGCAAAAATATTATAAATGTAGACTAGTGCTTTCATTAAAATAAATTGTATCATAATAGTGAAAATAAGAACAGCATATATTTTCTCCATGATAAAACCCATTAGCTGCCCATTTAAATATATTTGACTGATTGGCCTTATTCTTGATGAAAATGCCTTGCTAATCAAGCCAACCCATATTCCAGCCACTTTGCTGAAGGAACCTGCTACTATTGGAGATTCTGTAAAGGAACCTGCTACTATTGGAGATTCTGTAAAGGAACCTGCTACTATTGGAGATTCTGTAAAGGAACCTGCTACTATTGGAGATTCTGTAAAGGAACCTACTACTATTGGAGATTCTGTAAAGGAACCTACTACTATTGGAGATTCTGTAAAGGAACCTGCTACTATTGGAGACTATCTAAAGGAACCTGCTACTATTGGAGATTCTGTAAAGGAACCTACTACTATTGGAGATTCTGTAAAGGAACCTGCTACTATTGGAGATTCTGTAAAGGAACCTACTACTATTGGAGATTCTGTAAAGGAACCTGCTACTATTGGAGATTCTGTAAAGGAACCTACTACTATTGGAGATTCTGTAAAGGAACCTGCTACTATTGGAGATTCTGTAAAGGAACCTACTACTATTGGAGATTCTGTAAAGGAACCTGCTACTATTGGAGATTCTGTAAAGGAACCTACTACTATTGGAGATTCTGTAAAGGAACCTGCTACTATTGGAGATTCTGTAAAGGAACCTACTACTATTGGAGATTCTGTAAAGGAACCTGCTACTATTGGAGATTCTGTAAAGGAACCTACTACTATTGGAGATTCTGTAAAGGAACCTGCTACTATTGGAGATTCTGTAAAGGAACCTACTACTATTGGAGATTCTGTAAAGGAACCTGCTACTATTGGAGATTCTGTAAAGGAACCTACTACTATTGGAGATTCTGTAAAGGAACCTGCTACTATTGGAGATTCTGTAAAGGAACCTACTACTATTGGAGATTCTGTAAAGGAACCTGCTACTATTGGAGATTCTGTAAAGGAACCTACTACTATTGGAGATTCTGTAAAGGAACCTGCTACTATTGGAGATTCTGTAAAGGAACCTACTACTATTGGAGATTCTGTAAAGGAACCTGCTACTATTGGAGATTCTGTAAAGGAACCTACTACTATTGGAGATTCTGTAAAGGAACCTGCTACTATTGGAGATTCTGTAAAGGAACCTACTACTATTGGAGATTCTGTAAAGGAACCTGCTACTATTGGAGATTCTGTAAAGGAACCTACTACTATTGGAGATTCTGTAAAGGAACCTGCTACTATTGGAGATTCTGTAAAGGAACCTACTACTATTGGAGATTCTGTAAAGGAACCTGCTACTATTGGAGATTCTGTAAAGGAACCTACTACTATTGGAGATTCTGTAAAGGAACCTGCTACTATTGGAGATTCTGTAAAGGAACCTACTACTATTGGAGATTCTGTAAAGGAACCTGCTACTATTGGAGATTCTGTAAAGGAACCTACTACTATTGGAGATTCTGTAAAGGAACCTGCTACTATTGGAGATTCTGTAAAGGAACCTACTACTATTGGAGATTCTGTAAAGGAACCTGCTACTATTGGAGATTCTGTAAAGGAACCTACTACTATTGGAGATTCTGTAAAGGAACCTGCTACTATTGGAGATTCTGTAAAGGAACCTACTACTATTGGAGATTCTGTAAAGGAACCTGCTACTATTGGAGATTCTGTAAAGGAACCTACTACTATTGGAGATTCTGTAAAGGAACCTGCTACTATTGGAGATTCTGTAAAGGAACCTACTACTATTGGAGATTCTGTAAAGGAACCTGCTACTATTGGAGATTCTGTAAAGGAACCTACTACTATTGGAGATTCTGTAAAGGAACCTGCTACTATTGGAGATTCTGTAAAGGAACCTACTACTATTGGAGATTCTGTAAAGGAACCTGCTACTATTGGAGATTCTGTAAAGGAACCTACTACTATTGGAGATTCTGTAAAGGAACCTGCTACTATTGGAGATTCTGTAAAGGAACCTACTACTATTGGAGATTCTGTAAAGGAACCTGCTACTATTGGAGATTCTGTAAAGGAACCTACTACTATTGGAGATTCTGTAAAGGAACCTGCTACTATTGGAGATTCTGTAAAGGAACCTACTACTATTGGAGATTCTGTAAAGGAACCTGCTACTATTGGAGATTCTGTAAAGGAACCTACTACTATTGGAGATTCTGTAAAGGAACCTGCTACTATTGGAGATTCTGTAAAGGAACCTACTACTATTGGAGATTCTGTAAAGGAACCTGCTACTATTGGAGATTCTGTAAAGGAACCTACTACTATTGGAGATTCTGTAAAGGAACCTGCTACTATTGGAGATTCTGTAAAGGAACCTACTACTATTGGAGATTCTGTAAAGGAACCTGCTACTATTGGAGATTCTGTAAAGGAACCTACTACTATTGGAGATTCTGTAAAGGAACCTGCTACTATTGGAGATTCTGTAAAGGAACCTACTACTATTGGAGATTCTGTAAAGGAACCTGCTACTATTGGAGATTCTGTAAAGGAACCTGCTACTATTGGAGATTCTGTAAAGGAACCTGCTACTATTGGAGATTCTGTAAAGGAACCTGCTACTATTGGAGATTCTGTAAAGGAACCTGCTACTATTGGAGATTCTGTAAAGGAACCTGCTACTATTGGAGTTTCTGTAAAGAAACCTACTACTATTGGAGATTCTGTAACAGATTCCACACTCACATAAATAAGTCTTTGGCGTTTACTGGGATCAAGTGAGGCCCCTTTCTCTGACGAGGAACTCACAAGCAGATATTTCTGAAAAAAATATTTCAAACATAAGCTTTGTACAAATCAATAGGAAAATTATGAACAATTGGAAAACATTTTCAGTACATGACATTGATGGTTATGTCCTCTGTTTTAATAAGTGGAAATGGCATAATTGTACATATTTTATTCGTAACATAGTGAAATGTAGACTTGTTAAGATGAATCATATTTATTTGAAAATAATGAAGAAAGACGGACATTAAATACTTTGCAATTTACAAATGAAGTCGTAGTATAGACAAGATTTTGATTGGTTGTTGTATTTACCTCTGGCCTTCGAAACAAATCGTATTTGTCCTGGCGTTCCTCAAACATTATCTTATTTTTACTATCTCGCGTCCACATCACCATGTTTTCTACCAAAGAGTCGTGATCCTCCAGTATTCTCTCTGAAAAGTCACAAGGGAGATAATTACATATAATAAGACTATGACATGGCCCACTACCAAATGACCTCACATTCCAGTGTGGCTGCAACACAATATTAAACTTTTATTTTTTCATTTGTGTGCAAGTATTTGATAAAGAGATACTCTTACATACATTTATGTTAAAGTTACGAACTATATGGCCTCTGATCTATAACCCTGTGGGTCACACTGCACTACCTTAAATCTCCACACAAAGTTACGCCACTGACCTGTATCAAACAGGTACCAAACAAAACACAGATAAAAATGTTTCAAATGACACACATGCATAGTGTGGCAAATATTGGCCAATATTTCCAGACAGCTATGTGCTGACTCCCAGAGCTTACCACCAAGCAAGCGTGCATTTAATCTCAATGAATTAGTGAAAAGTGTTTGTTTATTTAACAGAACTGTTCGATTACATGCATCGGACAAGGAAACATAAAAGAAAATGTTACCTGCATTTTTTGTTTTCCAAAAACATAATTTGTGTATAAAAGACCTCATTTCCTCCAGGAATTTAGCTATATGATCCATGTTACTTCAATATGTTTTATTCACTTTCCAAAGAGCACCTGTCTTGTCGGAGTCCATTTAATTGTTACTGCCGAGTGAAATACACTGTAATTCCATTTGGAACCATTCTTTGTATACATCAAATCATCTGCACATTGAGATATGATGATTAGCATTACATCATTTCCACTGAGATAAAATAATGAGCTAATCCTCACCACACTGAGATACAACGATTAGATATGAACCCTTCATACATTGAGACAGGGACAAACTATACAACCTTACCACACTAAGGTACAATGATAAGCGACGAATCATCTCCACACTGAGTTACGATGACATGAGGCACTGTGAGGAAACTTTGGAGAACAACATAGGCAATAAGGATGGACCTCCTTGCAATAAAACTTGATATTTTTTTTGGCGTTTCAGATTTACCCTATACTGCAGCTGCCATTCACAACGCACTACTTGAGAATAGCTTCCTGTTTGTTTTAACTGTCTATATGCTGCAGCAGACAAACCCATCTGAAAGCTTCATGTATCCAAACGTCTTACACAAATTATAGTGACAGCTTAATAAACGTGAAATTAAAATTCTTCCTGGTGAATTTTTACATTGATCCATTTATATATCCATTCAATAACAAGCAACTTAACCCAAATCTTACTTAATACATGATTTCCTTTTCTTTATAAGGATTTGTAAAAGTTGAACTAATGCTGACTTAGGAGATGGTAAGACTAACCAGACACATTCAGGGCGTGCACATCACTGTTACCGCCATCAAGTATACAATCACCGCATTAACTTAATTATTTTCATCTGAAGCTGGTTTTTGAGACATACCGACAAATGAGTTTTAACAAACAGGAAAAGTAACAAGATTTTTTCTACAAAACAAAATTACTCGCTAACAGGAACAGAAATCAAACGGATTCTCTATAATCAAATTGCCATGTAGGTTTTTATCTGCTGAGCTAATTTAATTTTTGGGATAGGCTCACCTGCTTTAACATGGGGATTTTTGGAAACACATAACTCAACAAGAGATCCTAGAAGGATCTTGGTGCCCTGCATGACAGGATCTTTATCAGATCTACAAAAGATTATCTTTTGCCTTCTTTGCTGTTCAATTTCCTTACAGGTACTATTACCCAATCCCATGTTGGAAATCCTAATCAGGAATCTTGTACATTATCTTAAACCTTGTAATGTCATATGATATTTGCCACTTTATTTTGTAATTCTTACTATCAGTCCCTAATAGCAATATCTACAAGTACAGACAATTGGGAACCTTCATGTAAAATTTGAGAAAGATCCTTCGAGCACTTTCTGAGAAATAGCGCTAACACACTTTAATTCTCAAAATTCAAGATGACCGCTTATCGGCCATCTTGGTTTCTGATCAGTCCCACAATTCGATATGCATAAATAGAGACCATGGGGAATCCTTATGTGAAATATGAGAAATAGTGCAACAAGAATTGTTTAAGGATGGATGGACGGACCATGGACAAATGGCAATTTGATTAGCCCACTATCTGATGATGGTGGGCTGAAAAAGACCATTTAATAACTTGCACCTGAAATACAATCAAGTGTACAATATTTAGGAAACAATTTATAGGGAAAAAACATCCTTAATCCAGTGAACAACATGCTTACTGTCCAGCAACAATTCTATAAAACAAGTAAACATAACAAATAAACAGAAAAACTCCCCATTAATCCATAATTAATCCACCGACAACAAATGCATTGTTTCCAATCACTGGTAACCAAAGAACAGCTCTGAGTTAGGCTGACGAACAGGTCAGCTCTGGACTACGGCTGATCTACTGATAACCGATTTTAGAAGTCCTTTGATTGCTTCACACTTTTTAAGAAAGTTTATCCAGAAAGCATGCTGGCAATTACTGGAAACAGCAATAGGGGAAGGGTTATCCTCCGACTCCTGTGATGTTTAATGTTGTAATTACCGACTACGCTTAAAATAGAACTGACGTCCCAAACCCAAACCAAACCACTTCAACACTCTTTAGAACATTTTCTATAAGAATCTTTTGCACTCATAAGAAGCTACTTTAATGAGTAAAGCTCTGCCAGTACAGAGAAGTCTAACTTTTAACAGTGAATCAGATTTTAGACAATGTAATATTTCGGCTTTTGTAGCTTGGCAGTTTAGCCTGAATTACTTTGAACTCTACCAGACTAGTTCAATGGCACTTACCATGTCCCTAGTTCTGTGGAAGGTTACCGGACAGATTGCACTTCAAGGACATCAATATTCATGAGGCAATAATTCTGGAGTGTGTCGCACTCTAACTAAAACACTGGACAGTAATTAGTGCCACGAGACCAAGGCAGCCCTTTAGCAGACGACTTCCGAAACACATCCCTGCACACAATCTAATCTCGCTTGACGGATATGGTCTGAGATGGGTAATTGACATGTAACTACGAGAAATGTTGACCGGTCCATAAATAACAGAGTGACGTAAAACAAAGAAAAGTTTAACACTGTGGCAGATTTAAAACCTGAACCAAGCCAAACGTCATATTTAATATTCCAATGATTTTGAAATTATTGTTCTCCTTGTGTGTTTATGAGCATATTACAGAGATACATAACCCTCAAACAAAACCAATTATTTTCCAATAGAAATCATACATTCCTAAACAGGTCTTAATTGAAGCAAATGTTACGTAATGTGTGTTGGTGAACGGATCCTACGTTAGAATGTTTGGTTATAAATTCAAGCTCTTAAGCTGTTCCAATAAACTGTCACAGTGACACAATGAACAGGAGCTGTAGTATTTGTGTCTAGATTTTACCACATTTGTTAGGGCTACGAAAAAAATGGTGGCGCTATACTTGGGGATTTTTGGTGGTTTGGAAGTGCATGAAAAATGTAGAGAATCATAGTGCTTATAGAGCAGGATGTCCAAATATTTAGTTGGCATATCATTGTATTTTCAAAGCTTCTGATAACGTAGATCATATTTTGGAATGAACTGTTCTTTCATGACTTTATTCTAAATATGAAGCTTTTAATCGAGACAGCGAGAGAGTAGAAACTTACCCATAAATAAATCTGGCATATGTTCCACAACAGCAAGCTTTGAGTTGACCCGGACATGGTTTTTATCGGCCAGAGTACTACAAACTTGACCGATGGACATCTTTTCATCCACAAGTATACTTTTACTACTCCCATCTTTGGCAAATGCTCGAACAAACAGCTGTAAGGTCAAGGTCAAAGGTTAATAAATTACCTATGCATATTACTGTATAATGGGAATATTTGAGCTGCTTTATTTTTGCATTTTCATCATTGATAGATAAGACAATTTCAACATATGTCCGGTAAAAGAATTTACCTTCCGTATCTTGGCTTCTTTAATTTTTTCCAGGGCAATGCGGATCTTTTCAGCTTTTAAGCGAGATCTTTGTTCTTCCTGCAAAAAGGAAACACAAAACAATGGTAGAGATACCTGTCAATTATGTTCTTGTATTAATATGTATTGCACAATGGAAACACATACATATAGTCAGGGTATCCTGCAAAAGATGCATACATATACTGTATGACAGAGGGGAACACACACTTGTACCGAAAATGTCAAAAAATAAGGGTTCTCTAGATTTTACACAAGCAGTAATTACATTGGTCATGCAGACAACACACATTAAACAACATTCAATTCAAATCAAGGGAGACACGCAATTCACTCTGCAGTTTGTTCCCTGGTAATAGTTTAGGGTGGGACAGGAACTTGAATGCAAACTGTTGTCTGGCTAGTGGGAGAAACATGTTCTATAGAGCAAGGTATGGTCACATCTTATGCCAAATCCAGTTCCACTGGGTTCTCAGCCTGAAATCTTGTAGAAAGTTGTGTGAACACTCACTGAAAGGTTTTTCATAAAATGTTTGTGTGAATTAACACTTGTAGAATGTTTGTGTGAATTAACACTTGTAGAAAGTTTGTGTGAATTAACACTTGTAGAAAGTTTGTGTGAGTTAACACTTGTAGAAAGTTTGTGTGAATTAACAATTGTAGAAAGTTTGTGTGAATTAACACTTGTAGAGAGTTTGTTTGAATTAACACTTGTAGAGAGTTTGTGTGAATTAACAATAGTAGAAAGTTTGTGTGAATTAACACTTGTAGAAAGTTTGTGTGAGTTAACACTTGTAGAAAGTTTGTGTGAATTAACACTTGTAGAAAGTTTGTGTGAATTAACTCTTGTAGAGAGTTTGTGTGAATTAACACTTGTAGAGAGCTTGTGTGAATTAACTCTTGTAGAAAGTGTGTGCCAACATTGGTAGACAGTTTGATGATATTCCAATTATTGCCTTACAAGAAACTAATCAGTTCCACTGGGTTCTCAGCCTGAAATCTTGTAGAAAGTTGTGTGAACACTCACTGAAAGGTTTTTCATAAAATGTTTGTGTGAATTAACACTTGTAGAATGTTTGTGTGAATTAACACTTGTAGAAAGTTTGTGTGAATTAACAATTGTAGAAAGTTTGTGTGAATTAACACTTGTAGAGAGTTTGTATGAATTAACACTTGTAGAGAGTTTGTGTGAATTAACACTTGAAGAAAGTTTGTGTGAATTAACACTTGTAGAGAGTTTGTGTGAATTAACACTTGTAGAGAGTTTGTGTGAATTAACTCTTGTAGAAAGTGTGTGCCAACATTGGTAGACAGTTTGATGATATTCCAATTATTGCCTTACAAGAAACTAATGCTTCAATAATCTTAATCAAGTGACCTTGATCTTAAAAACCAAATGGCCTTGACCTTCAGCTTTTATGCTTTTCGCTTATATCTAGAATAGTTGTAGCATGTAGCTAACATTCCAATGATTTCTTTGAGAGAAATTAGGCTTCAAAAAATTAACCAACGAGAAAATGTTTGTAAGACTTGAATGCCTGTGCTCCTAAGCAAATAAGCTGTTTGACAGTTTCTATAAATGGTATTGGTAACCTTGGGCTTGATCTTTGTTCAAAGTTTGATAAAAATGAGGGAGCAATGACACTGAATTGGGATGAAAAAGGAGACAGGACAAGGACATGGATATGGGAAACACTAATCCCCCCTCTGCTTGTAATTAAACAATGACATTGATCTTTCACCATAACATTAATTCTTTCTGTTTAACTGTTTGGGGTTGTTGTCCTGTCTCGTTAATTACAAAGAGGGTGTATTGATATACATACAGAGGGTGGTTTTCCTGTTGACAACTGTGACAGGGTATATATATATCCCACTAACAGTGTGTGTGTGTGTGTGTGTGTGTGTGTGTGTGTTCCTGTCCTGTTGACTACTTTTGGTTTGTTTGTGTTTTACGTCCTATTAACAGCTATGGTCACTTAAGGACGTACCAGGTTTTGGTGGTGGAGGAAAGCCGGAGTTCCCGGAGAAAAACCACCAACCTACGGCCGGTACCTGGTGACTGCCCCACATAGGCCTTCAGCCCACGACCCAGTGGTGGAGGGTTAGTGGTGGCAGAATGTCAGAAGCCTTAATCACTTGGCCATCCCTTTGACTTAAAAAAAGGTGCCCCACTTACAAGGGGTGGCTTTCCTGTCCCGTTAACTACAATGGGGGGNTATATCCCACTTACAAGGGGGTGGTTTTCCAATTCTAGCTGCTCCTCATACAAACTTAATTGGGACATCAGCATCTCATGCATCTACAACAACATCAAATTTTAAAGGTTAAATCAAAACATCAAGGTTAAAGGTTAAATCAAAACATCAAGGTTAAAGGTTAACCTCCAGAGGTTATAACTGTTACAACATCAATCAAAATAATAAAACTAAAGTTGTGCAAAAAACATACATAGCAAAATCACCAAAGCGTAAGTATGAGAGGAATAATGTTACAGGACAAAAGGTCAGGCTTCCGAAAAACAAAAGGTTAAAGGTCAAATCGAGCTAAGGATCTTAAATAAAATGATAAACTAAACATTTACAGGGGACAATATGACATGCATGCAGGTCAAGATCCAAACAGTCGTTAGTTACAGTTACAATTACAAAGTCAAGAGATCAAATGTAGGAATGACCCAGAAAATGGTAGATATCTGAGACTTTTTACATCTACAGCTGGTGTTCTTAAAACTGGAGTCAATAATAATCCTATTTCCTTTATGTGATGGTGCACACCTTGTTTGAGTTTCAGTCAATAGCTTGATGGACATATTGGTACAATGATGAATGATCTATCTAATTAATTACCTTTTCCTTATTCTATTGCTAGTGACAGACTATCTACCACATACAGGAACACAATATTAATTTAATTAATGAGTCCTCCCTTGATGGTGGTTTAAACCAAAGTAATTACTGAATGCTCCCTTCACCTATAAGCTACTAGCAGTTACGTATACATTACAGTACCAGACTTCATCACTGGGACATTCCTGGGTCAATAAAGTGCAATGAAAAAAGCCTTTTTATCGGAGTTACTACGAAATATACTGAGAGTATACACTCAATTGGTATTCCGTCTTTGCATATTGCAGAGTTATCTTCTCTTGGGAGCAGGTATTGATTTTTTCGTCATTGGTTTGTGTGAGAAAATTACGTCGTTTTCTAAAAAATTGATGACGTTATTCTCACAATCAAGTGACGTAACAATCAATACCTGCTCCCAAGAGAAGATAACTCTGCAATACGCAAAGACGGAATAGCTTCATGTACAGATGATATTATTACTATGATGTAAAACAATACACACTATGTTCTGTGGCCAAGTCTTTGTGCATCAAAATCATTTGTTTGCAACATTTCTGGCCAAAAATAAGATAATTCATGTGTAATGTTGGCACGGTACAGCAACTAGCATCTCCTTTATGGTAAACACTAGATAATTAAATGTGGATGTGGTCCCCTGTTTTGTTTGCGTCTTTGATTATAATAGTATACCGCCATCACAGGTACACTTACTTAATGTGCTAACTCTACTTAACAGACTTGCATTGTCTAACTTTATGTACTTCTTCCTATTTATTTCCATTTCTTTTCCTTCTTATCATCCGATCTTAACAACCCATCCATTCAATCCTGCTTTCCCAGCACTCCCTCCCTTCAGTCCTTATAACAACAACCTTACTTCAATACCTATTTTGTATACTCCATGTCCCTACCCTAGACATATCCCCTCCTTCTTATTCCAAATTTATTCCTCCCCTAGTCCCCCCTACCCTGTACCAAAATTACATGAATCAATCCCTTCCCTTTCCACTTTTTTCCTACACCCTTTGGGGGTGGAGGGTGGGGGTTTGACAGTGTTCCTATTATCTTTTGTGAAGGTCATTAGGTCACATTAGGTCACAACCCCACCCTATAATCCTTCTCATTACTCTACATTTTCCTTTACATATTATTTTACTTTATCCTGATCTTCCTTCTGTCTGCCTCCCCCTGCCCTTCCTGGTAAGTAAGATATTTGGACAGGGTATCCATTATACCGACTATTGAACCTCTCTATGTTGTTATGTACAACATCAGGTTATAGCTACACATGTAGCTGAGAGAAATGATGTAAGTGAAACACCAGCTGACTAATGCTAATCAGATGTTCCTATATGGCTACAGTAGTAGACCTACTGAGTGTTTAATCCATACCAACTACCTAATCTGGTTTACATCCAGAAATAAGCACATCAATTAAGACTATAAGGTTTGTTACTTAGATTAAAATCTTTGCTTTTTTAACTGACAAATCTTTTATAAACTATGATAAAGAGATGAATTTGTGTGAAAAACAGCTTATATGGTTTAGATGAAAACTACAAACCCCTGTATCCTTACTCAGTGGTGAGGGACCAGTTTTAACTTGAATAAATGGACACAAACATTCTATGAGCCTGGGGTCACTATGGGGTCACTATGATTGATCCTCCCTTCCCATCCTCTATCATAAAATCAATTAACTCCACAAATGTTACCACTGGCATTGAGAGATGACCTTTAAAATACATGTAAATTGGTTGCAAAATTCAAGCTATTTGATATCTGATTTTCACAACAAGTATATCTTTGACCTTTGACCAGGAGCAATGACCTCCACAAACGAGGATAAAATCTCTATAATGCTGTCAAAAGAGACAAAATATATCTAATCTCTCACGAAAATAATTTGCCAAAAAGTTACAGGGTGATAAGCAAATATAAGTGACATTTGACCTTGACCATACATTTTCGCAAAAATATTTCCACTCTGTCATACCACTCTGGCTAGTCAATAGATAGACTGGCCGCCGTCTCTAGAATATTGAATTATTAAGAAAAAAGTTTAGCTAACTTTTTTGGATCACTTGGATGTCTGATTCTAGAGTTCTAAACTTGGGGGAGATAAGCTAGTAGTAAAATGCAGTTGAGAAATTCTTCATAAAAACTTAGGGGATGGTAGCCAGTCTAGTCAATGGATAACACAGTCACATCTTATTATTCATTGAAAGATTTTCATTTTTTTTTAATAAGATTTGTAAGTTTTAATTTTATTCAGTGTGTAGCAGAACCGGAATGGGTTGATCATCATCAGCGACCAGAGAGCTCAATTGTTAGAGCGTCTGTCTACAGTTTGGAGGATCCAAGGTTTGAACCCTAGTCTGGACATTGCATTTCTTTTACTTCCATTACCTTTCATGCCTATAACCAACCATTGTTTCAAGTACTGGGTGATTGCTTGGCAAGTAGATACCCAAACCTTGGTATAAATAGTGTTGTCTTCAGGGGCAAAGACTTTGAAAAAGAAGGGAGCAAGATAGTGGAACTAGACTGGGTCGATCCTCGACAACCAGATAATTCAATTGGTAGAGTGTACGTCTAGAGTTTGGAGGGTCCTGAGTTCGAACCCAGATCTGGCAGTGCATTATTCTGCTCCTGTTACACACTTCATGAGGTTGCATAGTGACCCAGACATTTAGAATTATATATCACTCTAGGGAGTGGGAGACACAGTTGAACATCTAGTGCATTCAGATGATTACCGATTTGGATACATTACTTGTTGTACATGGATAAGTCCCCACTAATAGCTCATAAATGAATTCCAAAGAAGCCATGACCACGCTGCAGAATCTTACATATAGATGAATTATTCCAGACTCCTTCAGAATTCATTTAGATTTTAAGTAAAGCTAACGAAATTTAGCTCGGATTACTGATGACTGATCTTGTATCAGAAACAGTGGTACATAACATAAAGCCTTCTAATCTTAAGTGGAAATCTACGAAAGTTTCTAAATCTAGGTGTGGCGAAAATATCTAATTTCAGTTTTAAACTTGATTGCCCCACCAACCCTGCTGTACATTATATTGATAATTTAGGTCAGAAATGCTTCTTACTTAACGTCTAATTATACAGTCAGAGATAGCACCGATATGAAAGGATTCCATGTCAACGAGTGCCGCAAAAAGTTAGAATATTTCAGTGATGTAGAACTATGTAGGTCAATAGATTAGGTTTTTGACATTTATCTTAAGAACTTAATTACATAATTAATACTACACACATATAATTTCCATTTCCATAGTCACTAAATACTATATATATTGATAGGATATGGGGCAAAGAAGTAATTCCAACAGTGCAGACAAGTTTAGGTTGTCAAATTTTCGGAGTGATAGGATATATATATACTTCCCATATTAGATGACGCAAAGTTGTCCTACATCCTCATTGGGTAGATCATAATCACATGGAGTTCGTTGATTTGTGATATTGACTTGGTTTTTATACCATTTTTTTTACAAAGAGCAGGACAATATTCGATTATGATGTTATTAAATTTCCAATGATTTATTCGTAACATCACAATGTTGTCTGCCAAATGCAGTACTTTCCTCTAAATAATTTTCATACTATTATTTAGCATCTAACATAACAATTAAAGACTTTTATTTCAGTCAATATGTGGTTATATGTACCTGACAAAGTTACATTGACTCACCTTTGTCTTGGTCAATATGACTTTCCCAGGTCTATACAACCTCATATTCACCTCAACAAAAGTCTATAATTAATACTCTCGGAGGAGGTTAGGGTCATCTACCTAACCATGCGGGTTTCCTTTAGGTACTCCAGTTTCCCCACCACATGAGGAACTACTGCATGCTTCCATCAAGGCCAACAAGAGTGACTTTATGAATGATTGAGAAATCAATACAATTTTTTATTTAATCAGTATTTCTACCAAAGCATAAAACTATGAAACAGTACACATGAATGTTTTCCAGTCCAGACGTTGTACTGTTAGTGCCATTCTGTCATACTGTTTCAGATTATTTGACAGAAATTCATGAATGGGATCCAATTGATGCCTTGCCTGATGGACAAGGTAACCGCACCCACACAACCTAACTGCTGCAAAAATGGCTTTCTCAACTGTGATAAAACAGTTTGTTTAAAATATATCAAGGACCACAAGAAACCATCCAGACAGATAAAAGAGATGTTATCTTGTTTTGGATAGATAGATAAATAAATAATATTTACTTTACAACAGGTATTGACACAAGTCCTAAAATCATACACTTTATTTTCTGAATGGAAGCTGGCGTGGATGGAAGAGCAAAACTGGTTCTTCAGTTTGGGGGTAAACAGGAGTACCAAGGAAACTCACATAATGGGGCAGGGTTGTCTTGTTCTTGTTTTGAATGTAGATATAAGAATTGAAAAGCATATCTTTAACCTTTATAATAACATGAAACCCTGTGGCTTACAAAGTCTTTAAGACAAGTTACTGCACACATCTTTTGGTTTCACGTACATCATCAAATATGCATTTCAATCCTTATAATTGGCAGAGGTTGTGATACAGGTCAGTCAAAAACTATCAAATCTACATATTGATAGTTAAATATTGATCAAAAGCTACAGGACCTCATGATGGTATTACAATATCACCCGAGACAAGTTAATAATGAATGAATTTCCTCAAATGACAGTATAGTCAAACATGATTATAAATAGACTGCCAATAGGCTCAGATAGAAAAATCATCTTAATAAACAGGTTGTTTTTATGGGGATTTTTTTTTTATCATTAGAAGAATTTTTGTAAGAATCATTTAGAGGAGTTATAGGTAAAGATAGTTTTCAAGACATTTTCACTGCATTTCAAGTTTTATTTATTTCCTGTTAAACTTTCTGTAAAACTTTGGAGCTTAATTTAGAAAATGTCTGTATAACAATAAAAAAACTTGTTTACCGAAGTACAGCAAAGGGGAAAAAAAGGTCCCTGTAGATGTCACGACCCTCCAATGGAAAGATTGATTAATAGTGTTTTATGATGAATAATTATAGCATATATTGGCCTATAAATTGATACAGATTCTGTGAATTAATGTTTTTATTCTGTAGAACATTAAGTTATCTATCTTTATTGCAAAGTTATCCCGTTAATCAAAGATTTTAAATGGTTTACATCAGTAAAATGATACCAGCCTTCCATGTATTCTCTTTTTTAGACATTTTGTGTATTGATGCTTCTAAAATTTTGACAGATGTAAATACAACACTTCCTGATAAATCACAGTGTTGTACCAAACAATTTTTTTTCTGAAATAAAAACAGCACTACATCATTTGTGTTCAATAGCTTACCTCCGAGGCTTGCATCGACAGTGGCGTAATCGTACTCGCACTGCTGGCAGTGCTACTGGTATCCCCGCCACTAGAGGTTTCTGCTGAGGATGACACAGTAACCATTGACGTAAAAGATTCTGATGATGGAAGTGAGGCATTTTCTGAGAAAGCAGAATCTGTTTCACCGGTAAGATCTGAACACGATCCATGTTTTGATAAAAAATTTCCATGAAGAAATTCATGATCACCACCATATTGCACACTATGCCTATATCCAAACGTTTGAGTAATTTCTGTCGCCAGCGCGTCCAGTTCCGCCTGCGCTAAGTCGTTGCCGCTATCTCGATGTTCGTCCTTCGCCAGCCCCGATGACATGCCCGAACCATGAGACCGGGAGAGCTCTGATTGTGTTGTGCTTAGTTGCGTTTCCAATTCACATAGTTCCCCGAGAATTGCATCGAAATTCACATCCTGGGCTTCTGTGAAAACAAAACAAAGACAACCGTTAGACAAAGTATTGGTCAGGGTTGCAGAGACACAATTTGGTGACAATGAAAGGGTGACTTTATAGATCAGTGTCAATGTGGTGACAGCAACCGTTTATAATTGGTACTGTATCTACACAGGAACCAAAATTACAACCTGTGGAATGAAACTTTCACTGAAGTTACTGTCTGAAACGGCTGAGCCAAATATCTTCTTCGTATTCAGCAATTGTAATGCTTTGCACTTCAGGAATTTTTCGTTTTGATTATACCGTTATTAACCAAAACAGGATTTCTGAATTGTTCACTTCTACTAAAATGTCTATGCATAGCAGAATCCACTGAACAAAAAAAATACACAAACGAATTCCATCCCAGAATAACATCAAACCCTGTCTGCCTTTTCTGTTGTTTTCACACAAGTGAACCAAGATCCTGTTCCCTATCCATGCACCAATTCATTGCTATTAGCCATGAACATTTGTTAAGTGGAGAGCTCGAAGGCAGGGGGAGTAAGCAAGTTACAACAAGTAAAAGGATCTGCTATAGCTTTGATGAAACACATAATGAAGTGAGTTATCTCTACAAATCGAAATCAAGAGGTGGTCGTCTGCAATTCAGTGATCAACATACACAAGTCCACCATCAAACTCTGTATCAGAGCCCGTAGGAGTAACTCAGACGAAAAGCAGACGTCAAAACCTGGCAACACGTTCCACTAAACGGAAGGGAATACATGTTCTGGAAACTTATAGCTGCAATCATTCAGGAAGTTTTGTTAAAAAATTTCATGCAATAAAATTCATTTTGTATTAATCTCAACATAGCAGATGTCAAACTATAGCAAGATGGTCCTTGGACGCATCCTTTAAATCAAATTCTTATTTTGAATTTTTTGTTTGACTGAAAAAGAAATCTGAAATATTAACATTTTCTTTTACATATCATGAGGAAAACTATAGCTTAATCCAGAAAAGGAATGTATTTGTTCTGAAATCTAATTTCCTTACAAACTGCATGCAGGAACCTTGCAAGTACAGAAATAATTATTGAAATATCTTGTAACCAACATTTTTGTCGATTTTCAAAAAATCATTATCATTTATTATTTATTATTTATTATTCATGCTTGCAAATAACACATTCATTTGATTCTACAAAGATTGGCAGATGTCAAAACCTGGCACATTTAATGATCAAATTTAAAAACTAACCTATACCATAAGGCTACATGCCAACCACTGTGCAAAAAGGAAAACATTTTTGGGACCATTTTTATTCTTTAAAGTAGGATGGATTGTGAGGGATACAGCCAAACAAAACAGATGTCAGAACAAGATTCTGGCCTCGGATTGCTGAAGTATTTGAGGCGAATTGTGATGATAATGATCAGATACCAGTATGTCACTGCATGTACAGTCTAATGCCAATAGTTCAACCGTGGCAGCTTCAGATCTGAGTTCAGAACACCAGCAATAAAGCATTCTTCCGACTTTGAAATACTTCTCTAATGTACTGCTATCAGATTCATTTCAAAGAGACTGACATCTTTAAAGTAGGAGATCTCTGTAAGATTTGGTAAGGCAACTAATATTCTTCATATAGGAGATATACTCCTAATATAGGAGATCAGACACCAGACTACGGAGATTCCGTAATATCGATCTTCTAGTACAAAAATACATACAACATACAAAACGTACGTTATATGGTGAACCGTTATATGTATCTATCAGCATCAATCTATTAATACACAAACATTACATGGTATACCATGTACCCATCATTATTATTGTATACAAGTTTTTTACTTTAAAAGTGGTCAAGTTTGATCATTGACCTTGGCTAATCATCACAAACACTTATTAACTGTAGAATGTGATGTTACCATATTATGATGTCAATATAGATTAAATTTGTTAAAGGTTTCATGAGATTTCTTGTAAAAAAAGCTTTTACTTTAAAAATTGTCAAGTGTGACCTTTGACACTTCATCCTTGACTGATCACCTCTGAAATCTAATAAGGTGTAAACTGTGATGTTGCCAAATTATGACATAAATATAAATCAAATCTGGTTGAGGGTTGATGAGATACCATTTTCTAAGAAGGGATACAAATATTTGATACAACTGACTCAAGATGATGATGTGGTACATGTATTTGAATTTAAATGTGGTATAGTTCAATATTATTGGATAGTTTTATGTAGTGATAAAGTCTGGTATAAGACAGGTTCATGGATTGATGAAGTCGATCACAACACAGGTTCATGGAATCAGGACGTTTGGTTAAAGATAGGTTAATGGAGTGATGAAATCATAAACAACCTGGAGTGATGAAGTTTGCTGGAAGACAGGTTCATTAGGTGATGAAATCATTTACAATGCAGTTCATAGAGTGATGAAGTTTTATAAAAGTCGGGTTCATGAGGTACACAACTGGTTGATAGAGTGATGAAGTCTGGTACAAAACAGGTTCATTTCTGTTCAGACAGTTCAGCTTCCACTTATCCTTGCTGCTCCTCTCTGACAAGTGGTTACAGATAATTACCCCCAAGTCTGTGTACACAATCAACCTGCTCTGTCAGTTAGACCTGCTACCTGTCTAACACACTGCAAAGCTTACATGTTCCAAGGGATTTTTGTTATTACATTTGCACGTCACATCAAATCCATCAACAGAAATAATGACATTTTACGGAATTTGTATACCAAGAGTATATGGTGCCTTATGTCATATCTGAAAATCTTGAAGAATTTATGAAGATCATCCAAAGAGATTCTGTTGGGAACAAGAAATCCACAAATCTGTGGTGCCCAAATTGTTAAATTTTGAAGTATAATTCTGGCAAAATTTAACACATCTTTCTTACCTCCAAATCATGAAGAGTTATTTTAGCTCACTGCAAAGGTTACGTGTATTAATCCAAAAGGAAACAATTGAAAAATCCACAAGAAAATTTTAAGTAAGCTTCCCTGGAATGAGCCTGCGTTAGTTTGCACTCCCTCATCAGTCTGATACCAAACCCCTTCACAGTCTACGATACCAGCATGTCAGAGGGCAGAGGTCAAATTGTGTGGCCACGTTTCTCTCTCTTCCTGTCTGCACTTGAAGGAATGATTCCAGTTGATTAGGTGATAAACTGGAGAGGTTGTACTCTCTAATATATGTTACATACTCTCCAATACCTTCTGTACACAAAGGAAAAACCATGGTGTTGTAGGCTACAGGGTTGAATCATGAATGGCCACATGGTTTCTATTAATAGAAACAGTTTCGGGAGTTTGTTGATAGTATAAGGAGGGGGAGTGTACCAAGACTTTATTGGTACACCAGATTGAGATAAGGAATGCCTCTTCTTACCTCCCACACATGTGCAGGGTCAGTCGTGTCAATGCATCAATGCAGGGTCAGTCGTGTCAATAGGTGGCATAATCCCCCCCACCCCACCCCCCCACCCCACCTTATATAAGCAAGTGTTGGAAGTGTTAATCTACTGGTACTGTTTGTTTACTAAGACAGGATCCATGTTTTTTACTCGAGACAATTTGACCAGAGTAACAACTGGAGTGTAGCTTGTAAATTACATGTTCTGTTCATCGAGTGATCACCGATATGCAGGTCCTCCAGACAAGTGGACTATAGACACAGGAAATGGAGGGATGGGTTAGGAGGTGGGGTGTGGTGGAGGAGGGTGTATCTCTAAACTGGATTTGGGCCAGTACAGAGTATAATGGTCAAAGACTACCTGATGATACCACACCAGGCACACTGTTTATATTGGTTCCAATAATATACAATGGGTAGGGTTAGAAGTAGAGGAAGGAGAAATTCTATGTTATATTTCCTAACACTTGTACCACAGAAACATCAGAAAGTGTTGACCTGCTGTCAACCATTATCTCATTAGTGTTAAGTCAATAGGGATGAATTAGGAGGCAAATTACACTACATTCTTATCCCCTTCCTCCTCCTCCCAAACCCCTAGGGAAAAACCACCACACAGGAAACTAGATTGGTCCCCTGTCTCTAGAATATCAAATCATTTAGAAAAAATAAACTTTTATAACATTGATCACTTGGATGTCTGATTCTAGAGACTGGTCCTATATGGATAAGGTTTGTAATTTGTACTTCACAAACTAGGGGGAGATAAGCTAGTAGTAAAATGAGCTGGGGAAGCTCTTCATAAAAACTTAGGGGTTGGTAGCCAGTCTAACAGGAAATATTAAACACGCAATCTAAAACATTAACTTGAAGTGAACATTGGATATACTTTTGAATATAAATGGTTTCTATACGCTGAGGATCATGTTCTAAGCTCCCATGTGGCCTGGTATTTCCAAGAGTTATATGTTCTAACCAATTCAGGAAATTCAATTAACTTGTTAAGCAAAACCAATTTTGATAAGTAGTTCTTCAGGAAATGAAATTTGAAATTGGGAGCAAAATGCCAGATTATTTTTTCATGTTAAACTTTAAGTGAGCAGTATATAGTATGGTTATGTGCTTTTCTCTCATTTCCCTGTGTGTATTTTAGATAGAGCTGTCCAGGGTAAGAAAGGGGTGTAGGAAATTTCTATCTTACACCCCATTTCAATTGTGACGTGACATCAAAATGGCTCAACAATGACATGACGCCACAAATTTGGAACTCTCCGATGTCGCAATGCGGAAAGGCAGCGTTATGAAATTTAAACCTTTTACAATATATTTACATGTGAGAAAGAAGTGATGAATTTTTCTTTGAAAACAATGTTTGCAAATATTGGATAAATTTAATCTGGCTGGCTAACTTATTTTCGTCTAAAAAGCTTTGGAGGAAAATTTGATATTTTCAAAATGGTGGCCAGTCCAAGCGCAATTTCATGGTTTCTGAGCTTATTCTGGTGATTGGAATAAGAGAAAAAAACTTGTTCATGCCCAAGGGTATAGGATAGGGAAATTCCACCCTCGGAATTTTCAAATTTGGCAAAACCCTCAGGTGGAATT